TCAGACCAAGATCCTTGGAGCGTAAAACAATAATAATAAATATTTTAAGTATTTGACCAAGATCCCTGGAGAGTACAACAATTATAAGACAAGTTTAAAGTACAAGACCAAGATCACTTGAGAGTGTTACAATAACAAAACATGTTTAAATTGTTACACGAAGATCCCTGGATAGTAAAACAATAACAAAAAATGTTAAAAGTGTAAGACTAAGATCACTTGAGAGTGAAACAATAACAAAACATGTTAAAAGTGTAAGACTAAGATCCCTGGTTAATACAATATCAGAACATGTTTAAAGAGTAAAACCAAGATCCCTTGAGAGTAAATCAATAACAAAACATGTTGAAAGTATAAGACCAAGATCACTTGAGAGTGAAACAATAACAAAACTTGTTTAAAGTATAAGACCAAGATCACTTGAGAATGAAACAATAACAAAACTTGTTTAAACTATAAAATCGAGGTCCCTTGAGAGTAAAACAATAACAAAACATGTTTAGGGTATAAGACCAAGATTCCTGGAGAGTAAAACAACAACAAAACATGTTTAGAGTATAAAACCGGGATCCCATGTGTATATATATATACATCTTTATTGCCTCCGAATGTTCGAAGATTTACATATTACATAAAACAGTCAATGAAGAGAAACAACATTAAGCAAAGAAAAGCATCATAATTATAAAAAAGGGACAATTTCAAAGATGTAAAATTATATATATTACATAAGACAATATTTGAAGAGAAGTGACGTTAATCATATCAGCACATCATGTTAGTGCAAGAAGATACAAAACTACATGTAACATCTTACGCAAAAATAGCACATTCAGTTGCAAACATACATGTTTTTAACATTTATTTGCTTTAACGTGTTTTTTCGTTTTTTAAGTTATCATGTACATAACTTTGGACCATACAATTAAGAAGAAGGAACTAATTGACATTAAAAGCAAATCTTACATATAGAAAGGTTAGAAATGCATAAAATGTCAGTAGTTTCTTTAGCTTTTGCAAGACATTATTTAACATTTTTTGGCCATGAAATCTGGGAACTTATCAGCGGATAATACGTAAATAAGATTGATATTTACATATCCTAATGTGTATGTAATAAATATCTCTGTAGGAATTGCCTGCAAAAAAACTACTCAGAGTGCTATTGAACTAATTTTCTAGGCAATCAAAGAATGTTGCCATTTTCTTTAGTTCTTTGTTCACCTTACAGTAAAACATCAGATGGTAGAGTTCATGTGTACATTCATTAAAACACTTTTGACAAATTATAGTTTGTTCATGCTTAACTTTACAGTTAAGTTGCGCAACAAATCGCATAAGAGTCAGTAATTCTGGTCTTTCTTGTGCTACTCTCCATACATTGGACATAGTCAATACACTATTAATCTCTCTAAAGTGTTTAAAGTCATTGTTTCTCTGTACGCGTACTTTCCATTGATTTTGCTCGTACTGTAGAGTTGTTGATTTAACACATTTTTTCCATTTTTCTTTTGCCGGGAATAAACCACTTTCTATAAACTGTTCAATATAATTAGTCAATTTATACTTATCCAATAATTTCAAGACATCTGGAATAAAGCCTAAGGAGGATATCGTCACTTTTGTTTAGAATGCATAAGTCTAGTTATGAACACTTTACTAATCATTTCTCTCGATTTTAACCTACACAAAGTACCTAAGAAGAGAAGTTTCTGGAGGTCGATGTAGACCTCGAGTGAGGTGAGACCTAGCATACCCGTTACCATATCAGATCTAGTGAGATGTGGAAAGCCCTTTTTCAGACATAAATGGAACGTGCATTCGAGTTTTTGTATATCTGACTGCTTTAGAGGATTCCAAAGTTCGCATGCAAATAATGATCTAGGAAGGATACAGGTTGGAAACAACCTTGCGATAATATGTGGATTTACACCATCACAGCCACTGATTGAGTTTTTCAAAGAGAAATAAGTACTTCTCATGGAATGTCGAACTTCGTCGATGTCGAAGGGATAGATACCGTTTGATGACTGCACAATGCCGAGATGTGTATAATTGGGTACGTCTGATATAATCGATCTACCATATAAAAGTTTTATTGGCGCCAAAACACGTGATTTCTTTCTATTCATTGTCATAGTAGCACACTTGTCGGGATTATAAGAATACCGCCATTTATTTGCGTATGTTCGACTTATATCTAACAGGATTTGAAGATCAACTCTACTTGTTGAAAGCAAGACAATATCGTCGGCCTGAGTTGGAGCGGAAAGAGGTACATGTAGTTCACTCATGAATACGGAAACCGCTTTGTGAGTTTTGTAATTCGTTTAATAGTTCGTTTATAAACACGGTGTAGTAAAACGGTGCACATATACTTCCCTGCCTGGTTCCTTGCATAATATGGAATGTATCAGATAAGTGTTCATTTAGGAAAACCTTGCTGTTTGAGCCGCGAAGGGAGCAATTGATTATACGTAGTAGTTTTCCATGAACGCCCATTTCGTTAATTTTATATATTAAACCCGATATCCAAACCATGTCAAAAGCAGATTTCGCGTCAAGGAAACATACTTGCAATGGGCTCCAACGATCAATGCAATAATCACGTGACTTGTAAACGAGACCATTTTACAACTTTTGCCTTTTTGAAACCCGTGTTGCATGTTATTTAATTTAATGTCTAAACAGTCTATTCTATTCAAAATAATCTTTTCAAATACTTTTGACACAACCGGAAGTAATGATATTGCTCTGTAGCTTTTAGGGTCTTTAAAGGATTTCCCTTTTCCTTTATGCAAAGTTACAGTGAGACCAGTTTTAAATTTCACAGGTAAGTATTCTCTTTCTATGATCTTATTAAAAAGTTGTAATAATGCGTTGATTAATGTTTCACCGCCGTACTTCAAGTGTTCATACGTCACATTATCAATAGAGGCACTTTTATTGTTAGGAAGAGCATTAATAATTTCAGAAAGCTCTCGGAACGTTACCTCGTGAAAGTTTGTGTAATTTATATTTTCAGTATTGTCTGCTGAGTTTGATATACTGTTCGCGACTGAGTTTTCTATTAAATGCTTGAACGCGTTGTCAAAACTTGGGTCGTCTGAGTACGAATACAGGCTTGAAAAATATTGACTCCATCCGTTTAGAATACCATCAAGAGTTGTCTCGCTTTTACCATTGAACACTATTTCACAGCTTTTCTTTTTATCCTTAAGAGACTTGTTGGAGTTTAAAACTTTCCAAAAGCCTTGTTGATCGAGTTCATATAACTTATCGATTCTCTCAAATTATTCGCGTTCAAACTGCCTCGCTGCTTTGCGGAGGCTTTTACGGAACTCACGTTTTGCATTTTTGTACTGTTTATAACTTTCGCCTTCTCGCGGTTTGCCATGAGTGGTCCAAGAAAATTGTAGCAGTCGTAATGTTTTATGTAGGTCACGCAGGGTACAGGACCAATAAGGTTTCAGCATTGGCCGAAACAACCGGGTAGAAAGAGTTTGTTCAGCAGCCGAAGCCATTGCTGATATAATGGTGCCATATGCTTCATCAATGTTTGCATAGTCAATTTCAGCGCCATCAATGTTTGCTTTTAAAACTGATCTGTATTGATTGCATTCTTTTGGTTTGGTCCAAATGTATTTTAATTTCAAAAATTCTTCCGACGTTACATTGTTATGCGGTGTGAATTCAAGTCTTATACATACAAACAACGGTGTCTTGATATATTCATAGGCGCATCGTGTATTACGCGACAGTCTTTCACTGCATTGAATAGTTGCTCGTCGACAAGAAAATGGTCGATTTTTGAATGGTTGGAATCGTTGTACGGTATAAAGGTATAGTTTGGTCCGCTACACATGTCATTGATTATGATCGGTATCAAACTTTGTCTGCTAGCAAAATTCAGTGCATATACGTCCCGTGAGCGCAGCCGAGCGAAGAACACATGGAATTAAAATTTATAATCCATATTCGTTAATTGGCCTTTAAGTTCAATTAGGAAAACATCACTATTATCAGTATTATTATATAATAATAATAAGATCATAATAATAAGATCAAGGGTCTCTATAAATACAAGGTGAATATTTGTCTGTTTTTTTATATCTTCGAACAATATTTGAGTTAATTTTAAAACCTACATCCTGCTAACGTATGCTTTGTTAAATTTTCACTTTCAGAGAAAAACAATTTGAAATGACAACAATTTTCGATAAAATGAAACATTTGGTAGAAAAAGTCACCGCATATTCGCACATTTTTAAGCGTTAGAAAGTCATTTAAGATATGGTTAATTAACACCACCATTTTGTCATTAAAAATTCAAAACCATGGGTTCCAATGCTATTCTTTCTAAGATATAAGATGTTATAGTTGCCATGTCTAAGATAGAGTAACTTTATCAACAGTCCACGGTCTTTTAAGGTAACTATGACAACAGATTGTCAGGAAAGTTTGATCACATGAAAAACAGTTAAATAAAACATTTTTGAGGTTCTTGTGTAAAAAGTAAGAAATGTCCATTTGAGTTACGCAATAAGTGATAGCACTTTCCTTTAAACTGCATGTTAACGGGAATTTTCATCTTAGTTGAATTTATGGTCATTTGAAGCTTCATTCCCTGCTGTGATTACACATGATTGTGACAGATTATATCCGAATTAAAATATATATATACATAAAAGTTTCCCAAACTCTATATAACTGAACCATACATACAATAAGCATGAATTGAAAAACATGTTATAAGCTCATATCTAAGATTTACTATTAAGAAAGTCTTGAATTATGTGAGAGCAGCATAATAGAAAATATGTAATAAGTGTACAAAGGATTCAATTGGAAAAAAACTTGCCCCATTGATAATATGGAAAAATCATCGGCTGTTTATTTTTGTAAATGCTATTTTTAGACACGCGCAACAGATCGTTCGATTTAAACATATAAATATCTACCCGTCACGCAGTGAAGATCACTAAAAGAATTGGAAATAATACATGTTCACATTTATTTAAAACAGTTTGGCACTCCTTTGTAATTCTATTACACGTCTATATAAATATCTGATATAATAATATGCGTAATTATACCATACTAAAAATTTAAGACGAACAATTTTCAAGTTGAAAAATCAAATCAGTATGGGGTGCATATTCTATTTTATTTTCATAATTGGATTTATATTTCTACTGAAAGGTAATTATATTAGACTCTTCATTAAAAACGCGTTTATTGTACTTGTCTTTTTTATTTTCCTTCTTTTTTTTTATAGATTTATACATTAAATGGCAGGTTTTCATTAAGAAGAAACAGTCGATATTGAAACCGAAAATAAAGAGATTGTCAATGTCCGGAAAAGAAAACTATCAGATATAAAACGCGTGATATTAATTTTTTTTAATCATGAATGTGTTTGTACAAAAGAAAACCGGATAAAATTACAATTAAACGCCGTTATACATTATGTATTTCACAATTTTAACTTGCTTAATAGCTTTTAAAGAACTCGTTTGCTTTCAAGTTTTTAACTTTTTTTCAGTTGTTTAAATTTTTTTTTTATTTTGTTGTTGTTGTTTTTATCTTTTGATTGAAATTTTTAAAATAAAAAGAATTCTGAAATATATCCAATTTCCACCTCATCAAACGAAACGCACCTTGTTAGTTTTATTCTTTGATTCAACAAAAAGAAATTTAATGTTACCCCTTCCTTTCAAAATGGATAGAATACTGCAATATCCAAGCTACACAAGGTAGTGCTATTTATTCTACGCGAATGTAACGATACTTTAAGAGAACTTACGTCATGAGATTATGACTGCACAATCTTTTGTACTTTCTAAAAATATCTATATCATACTGAGAATATTCATTTATTTTAATCGAATATTACAAAATAAACTTCTGATCATTTTCATATCACGAGATTTTCTGTTTATTTTATATAATTTCTCTTTTTTTATAAAAAAAAATGTTTGCTTTGATAATCAAATAGTGATTATAGTTGATTCACTTTCTGTTTCTTGATTGATATGAAATTAGAAGAAAGTAGTCCGGCAAGAGACCAGTGAAAATACGGAAATTATGAAATGGCAGTGATATTTTACACTGGAAATTAAGGAAATGAAAATATGCATTTTGTTTCATCAATATTTCCATCAAATGTTCTAAATATTTCACTTATAAGTAGATAATAAACATTTATATATGGCCTTATACTGTCTTTTTTTCCCAGGAAACCAATGTATCGACGAATCTATTATACTGATTACTGACAGCCACAATAAAGGACTATATGGAGTATCGTCTAAAACTAACACAATCTACTCTATCGCCGTCAAGAGAGTTTCAAACCCTATAGCAATAGATTATAACGAAATGAATGAAAGAATATACTGGAGTGACGTCATGCTGAATGAAATAAGGAGCACGTCCATTAGCGGGCATGATGACGTCATAATAAGGAGTCTCGATAATGGTAAGTATAAAGCTAAATTGAATTACGTAAACAAAGCAAAGCTCGGCTAAAGTTTCCCAAAACCAATTAATCGCTTCGTACCTTACTGTAAACAAGAAGTTTGAATTTTTTTATTTGCATAATGATTTTTACGTAAGTGTATTATGTTAGTGACTAAGTTAAGTTAAAATCTAACACTGAAGAGCTCTTCAAGCGAATTTAACAATCGAAAGCATGCATCTGTGTTATTTTTATACAAATACAAAGTGACAATCGTTCATATGGTTTTTAATTATTAAAAGCTCCGGTTTAATAATTCGTGCATATTTAAACGTCGTTTCCATGCATGCATGTATATTCACAACCTCATTAACTTCGTGTCATATATGTAGGCTCATTTTTTCGCTTATGTAACATCATGTTGTTTGTTTATGCATAAAAAATACGCCTTTTGTTAATGCATATAAGCAACGCTGTATTGTATTTTTATCATCAACACTAAATTGTATTTTTATCAGCAACACTAAATTGTATTTTTATCATGCATATTCATTTCGTCGATTCTATTCATGCATATCAATTACGATTTGTTCTATTTGCACGTTAAAAGCGCCGTGTGAAATGAATTTAAACCATTTTCTTTTAATACTATTATTACCCATAAAGCTGTTATTTAAGGTTCGATTCCTGACGGACTGGCGGTCGATCCCGTTTCCAAGCTTTTGTTTTATTCAGACGCAGGGAACCACCTTATAGCATTAATGGAATTAGATGGTTCTAATCATGCAGTTATTGTAACCAAGGACATCGACAAGCCAAGAGCAATTATACCTGATCCTGTAAATGGGTAATTCTGAATTTATATTTTTCATATATTGGTTAAGTTATTTCACTTTTCGGATGCCCATATCTGCCAAAGTATTCCGGATGTAAAGACCTTAATGTACTTTGGAGAAAATCGGAAACACACTGACCGGTAATTTAAGTAATTTAAGTAACAAGGAGTTGCTCTTTGCCACCACTCATTAAGTTCCTTTTTACCACTTAATATATTACTGCAGTGAAAAATCAATTTTTACAATGAAAATACAAAAAAAAATTAAAAAACGCATTTTATTTCATCAATATTTCTCAATATTTCATTTATAAGTATATAATTAATGTATATAACCTAATAATTTTGTTACATTCTATTTTGTTGCAGGAAAATATACTGGTCTGACTGGGGAGTACCCCCAAAAATAGAGACCGCCAATTATGATGGTACTAATAGAAAGGCTCTGATTACATCCGGGATACTTTGGCCGAACGCTTTAACAGTAGATTTTGCAGGTAAATGCATATGTTAAAACATATTGCACATTCCAACATCTTTCATGAACATTCAAAACAGCACTAGTATCGCTAGGTTCCCAACTTTTTTTACAAAACTTTACTAACAGAGGTCCATGATCTTAGAAATAGAAAATTAAAACAAAACTTTGAAAGATCAATAGGGGACTTAACAAGAAACAATATAATAAAGGTTATAAAAATATGCTTGAACATTGACAATAAGTGCCATTTTAGCCCGATCTGAGCTTAAAATCGTTTTACTTGCACAATAAAATGGAGAAAAATAAGAAAACCATTATTCTGGAAAACTGAAGTACGAGAATGACCACAAGTTATTGAAATTGACCTACATCAAATGACAATTTTTTGTTTAGGATCCGTGAAATGACAAGTTAAATGCTAACCGCCGTATACACACATGTATATGCGATGTTACACACTTCAAAATTTTAAATCCGGTGCTAGGGGGCTTAGAGGGTAGCTTGCAAATACCACTACCGTCTGTTAAACCGAGCTTGCAACATTTTCAATTTTACCCTTTTGAGTGTTCTTTAGGGAATCATTTTGTATGTAAGTATGAAACTATGTCAATGTTTATGGCCATGATTCAATAAACTAGTAATTTCAAATTTTAATATCTTGATGAATACAGTGACTGAACCAGTTGTTCTTAAATGATATGTATGTGTTACATGTTTCTATTTGTCTTGACCTTTGTATATCTTTGCGTATATTATTGACAATTTTTGTCTCGAGCATATGAACAAATTGTAGCTATGACAACTGGACCATATAAGAGTAAACCTAAAATGACATTTCCGAACTCAAACCAATTGTGGTGAGACACTAAATAGGGGATAATACATGTGTACATTTGAAGTCAGTGATTTCAACGACTTGGGAATGAATAACAAATGCTATCTTGTTTCAGATCAGTGGATGTACTGGGGAGATGCAGGAACTCACAACATTGAGCGAGCTAGATTAGACGGCTCTGAGAGGAAAGTTATTTTCTATAATGCCAATTCACATTACTTTTCGATGCTCCTTTACTCAAACAATCTGTTTTATACCGACTGGCAACACAGGTAGGAATTTTATCTGTTTTAAAAAAAACAATTCACTGTAAAACTTTGTTGAAATAAAGCACACTTTAACACTGTACTTATTGAAAAAGATATTTGAATCTACTCTTTGCTGATATGCAGACGATTTTATCTTCATGAGCAACAAGTACCGCGGGTTGTTTGCGCAATCATAATTTTATTTCTAGAACATGCGCCGCTTTTCAATCAATGGCACGTAAATGTCATATTAAGTTTCTATGATCACCTTATAAGCAACACTTGTGGATGTTAAAAAAAATTTCATGCAATGGCAAAAGTCTTTGTTACATGATGTATGCTGGTGTCAAAACGACACAGGAGACATCCTTTATTAATCATTGCCGTCCTTATAAATTCGCATTCAAATCAATACGACCTTTTTTCAGTTGTCTCGGGTTGTCTCGGGCAACGTATTTTAAGCATTTGGCCACTGCAAAGAATGCCTTCTCAGTTGTTATCGCTGCAGACATAAAGTTTGATTCTTCTTTATATTTAGAAAATCACAAAAAGACATGTACACTTTCAGATCAATCATGGCAATTTCCGTTTCCGGTGTCGGCGTGTCTTCGAACATTGGAAATGATTCATTTTCCAGACTTAATGATATTTCTCGTTTGAAACCAAAACCAGCGTATCCAGGTAAGTACTGTAGTAAAGTTAACAGTAGAAACCGGTTCAACAAAATGAAATAGTTGTAAGGTAACAGCATTTTCACATGGAAATTATGAAATGTTTTGCAGGGCTTTCCTATTTCCTAGAAACGCAGACAATTTATGCATGATTTATACATGTACGATTGATCACCGCCGACTTTCCGCTCCTCATTGGTAAGAGTTCATAATCTTAAGACAAGCAGCTGCAAATTGTTTTGTAACAGTGATATTGCCCATTCGTCCATGGCGCCACTTAACTATTTTTTCACTATTCCCTAGAATAACATCCGCGTGAATTTAAACAGCATAGGCAATACATGTAACTGATGCATAAACTGTCTGAGTTTGTTATATACTTAACCCGATTTCAACATAGACTATATTTTTAAGTTTATATAGAAATGTTGTTTGCATCAAATCATTAAATATTTGTGTAAGTTATTATGCATTTATCATTATATTGTCTGGTAAATTAAGCATATAGCATATAAACACACTATGTTTGGTGGATAATGTCATGTATAAAGCGCTTAACCTTGTTGAAATCATTACGTTTTCATAGCAATATTCTTTCGATAATATTGTCTAAATGAATTACTGTCCATTTGCAAGTTTTATATATATTTTAATTGGCAACTTTGTACTGTTTTTATTTAGAAACAAATGCTTGCACGAAGAATAAAGGCGGCTGTAGTCACATCTGTATACCAAGACCAAAAGGAAATCATGCTTGCCTATGTCCAACAGGTTTTACTCTGAAAGATGATTCATTTTGTATAAAACCCAAAGGTATTCTTTTTTTAAATTCTTATGTTTCCATTATTCTTCAGAATGTAATTTATATATATTATATGTTTCAACGTTAACCTTGTGTTTGAAAACGATATTCGAAACACTTATATCAGAACAAAGTTTTAATAATATATTCTTAGAACTTTCAAAGTTACAAAGGCATGCTGTATCGTTTACCCAAACCTTATTTAAATTAACCTTATGTTCATTCTTTCGTTTTCATGTTGCGCTGAATTAGGTATACATTTCAAAAGATTGACTTTTATTATGGTGATTGGCAAATAACTGATGATAACAAATGTTCATAGTACTTAATTCACATGTCGGTTAGTTATTTTGATTACTGATTAAGTGCACAAGGGGGATAGTTGCTGGATACCGATATTTCACATATTCATTTTCCACGTTTTCAATTTTGCCATCTTAAGTGAACTGTAAATTTCTATAAGGACTCATTTATTATCTTTCACTAAACTGCCTATATTATTATTAACTCATATATAATCTATTTTATTTATTACTTCATTAATTATTATTCCTTACGAAACATCTTCTATCCATAAAAAAATAGAACAAGAAAAGAGTGTTACATGTAAGCCATTGAAGAGACACAGCAAATTTACCACTATTTTACCAAAAGAGTGTCTGACACATGCTTCGCCAGTTGGAAAGATTTGCAAGATTCAATGCCCGGATGGCTTCCTATATGGTGGTACTCTAACTGATATAGAATGCAAAGCTGATGGACATTGGAATGCTGACGTATCCCTCTGCTTTGGTGAGTAATACTATAGAAAATATGTAACATTATGATATTAGAGAATAAGTATTAACTTGTAGGATTTTATGATAATTTTGATCTGTCCCAAGGTAATAACATAAGCCTTTGTTTACATAACAAAGATTAATAACAATGCAAAAAAAATGGTAAGACAAATTGAAGCCCTATGAATAAAACAGAAAATAAAACGTCATATTTGCATTTGCCTTGCTAACGCAGTAGGCAGAGCGTGTGTTGTGTTAATGCTTTGGGGGTTTTAGGTATCTTTTTCTTATTTGACAGTTTTGTTTCCAATAGTTACACATGCTAGATATAGAATATTTTTGTATAAGGGTTGATAGGCACTTGTATAAAGTTAGAGAAAACGTCAAACATCAGGAAAAAGCATTATTAGAAATGTAAAAAATAAAATGAAGTAAAGTGTGTTATATATTGATCCTTATATTCAAATTATTAATGTTTCATAATCGTGTGACTGTGTTAAAAAAGCTTGATTTTTTAATTTTTAAATTAAATTTTCTAAAAGAAATTTAAAAAAAAAACAATTAAAAACAAGAAACAGTTGAACCGGGTGATGCTCCCCGAGAAGGTTTTGGACACAGGAAAGTACAACAAATGACAGAGGGCAAAAACTCCAAAATTATGCAAGGCGGAGTAATGTTTTTTTGGGGTTGTTTTGCACTGCACTTCTATTCAATAAGATCTATCTATCTATAAAGTTGCCTCGTGATATCTCTTATAGTTTTAGAGTTATGTCCCGGGTAAAATTAAAAGTGTAAAAATGAACAAAGGGCAATAACTCCAAAATAAGACAAGGCTTTGTTTAGGTTCTTTAAGCATTGCAGTTCTATCCAATGATATCTAGCTACCTACACAGTTTCATGATATATCTAATAGTTTTAGAGTTATGTCCCGAACAAAAGTCAAAAAGTAAAAATAAACAAAGGGCAATAACTTCAAAATAAGGCAAGGCAGAGTAATGATTCTTTAGCTCTGCACACCTACTCAATGAGATCTATCTACTTACAAAGTTTCAGTTGATACCTCTTATACTTTTAAGAGTTATGTCCCGGACAAAGTTCAAAGTGTAAAAATAAACAAAGGGGAATAATTCAAAAATTATGCAAGGCAGAGTTACGGTTCTTGTGCACTGCACACCTTCTCAATGAGATCTATCTACCTACAAAGTTTCATGTTGATACCTCTTGTTGTTTCAAAGTTATGCCCCGGAAAAGAAAAGCGGACTGACGGACGGACGGAAGGACGGACGGACGGACTTTCCAACATTTTGGGTTTAGGGGCTATTTTCTTTGTTATTTTCTTTGTTTTCTTAACGGCTACTAGCCCATAAATCCTTTGATCACGGAATGAACCTATTGTTCTCTTTTGTTCTCTTTACTGTTATATAGTCACTAAACCCAAAATGGTTGATCGGATGGACGGACGGACGGACAAGGCGGCGACTATATGCTCTCCCGAATTTTCGGGGAACATAAAAAATGGCCGAGTGGTTAACTCTTCGGACTAGTAATCTAATGATCGCTAGCCGCATGGGTTCAGAACCAGACTGGGGAGAGTCGTTGTTTCCTTGAGCAAAAAAACTTTACACTCATTGCTTAGTACCTGGTTTGGTTCAGGAACGGATTCAAAAGTGCGTTTATAAGCGTATAGCTTCCTGAACAATCGAACTAAAGTTAACCCTGTATAAACCAAAAGTTAACTACTGGACATGTCGCCGCTTTCTTAACAAAGATGGAAACAAAAACGAAATATTTTTTTTATAGAAATAGAGATTTACAAGAACAAAGTATATATCAAATGATCATACAAAAAACAGACAAAGTAAATTAAAAAATGGGAAAACACAAAAACAACATCATCATTATTTCATTACTGAACCTATGAGTGTAATAGTTAGAAGTTGCAGTGACGTTTATTTACCAAGCCACTACGACAGTCACATTCTTATTAGAATGAAACTATATATACTTGTTGACACTTTCAATCTCGGAGGATATGCAGACTTACCCTTGAAAGCACCTTTAAGACCAAATTATCATCCCAGGACAAAAGTTGCTACTACTGAAACAATTTTATTTGTTAGCAATTGATGTCTTGTGACCTATGTAATTCAATGGTAGGATACTACGTCATCGCGCACCTGCTAAATGCTCCCACTTGGACCATTTTTTGTCGACTCGAAGGTAAAATACAATTTTATTATAAGAAAACGTAAGAGTATTAAAAAATCATGCAGCGCACCAAAGAATGGCTATAGTACTTGAGATAATTGTAAAAAAAGATTATAGATTTATTGCCTGGTTTAGGCCTGAAAACGGGATAAGTGTTTTTCTCCGAATGCTCCCACTCGGACTTCTCCCGAAACATATATGAAATAAGGTTGAAAACCTTCTTTAAAATTATTTTTAACGTATCGGAACATAAACCGAGTCATGTATACCCATTATTCTTTATTAGTTTCAAATATTTCTATTCAAAAGCCAGTCTTTTAAAGTTTTTTTATGAAAATGGAAAATGCTCCCACTCGGACTCGATTTCAGAGATGCTCCCACTCGGACCCAAATTTATACATTTTGAAAGCACATTGCTGTGTTAGCTTTTATAAAAAAATAAGAAAACAAAGATCATAGTTATTTCTTTATCACAGTCTTTACCATATTTTGGTAATTAAAGATCATGTAAGTTATATTTCAGGCTGTTACCAATTGAAATTGTCTATAAATTAAATGTATTAATATTTATGGTACTAAACAATTTTCAAACATAAAGGAATATGTAAGATACGTACTGCAAATGCTTGTCCACATTATATGTAATCATTAAAATATACATGTATGCATAATGCATTCATTTCTTTTTGAAAGATTCAACTTACACTTAATAGAAAATATATTTCTAATTACCTCCCTTTATGAAATGTAAATTCGGTATTATCTTTACAAATAATGCTTTTCGGAACATACAATATTGATAAATCTTCATTTGAGCATTATTTTTATGAATAAAATCATAGAAAAAGGATTTCAGGATATTTGAATGACGTTTAAATAATAACAATAAAACAAGAAGGAATCACAGACAGCAAAATTCCCCGCCATAAGGAGGAAGTACATTTCAAAGGGGAAACCTTTGTAACTCTTACATACGTGAAAAAATTCCAAGTAATGATATTCGTGAAAATTAATGAAAAGTTATAGCCTAGACATAATAAATCATGACAAAAATAACACTCCCATGAAAAAAAAACACAGGAAAACAACAAAGAAGCATTAAGTGAACACGTCTGGTCCTTATGCTCTGCTATTCACTTCTATTAAACATGTTCAATATAAAGTTTTAAGTTTATATCTCAAATAACTTTAGAGGTATGGTCCTTGCAAACTAATGATAGTGAATAAAAAGAGCAATAACTCCAAAACTGGAGAGTTGTCATTCTTGTTTGCGGTATTTTACTTTATTGAAATCTATTCTCCAGTGAAATTTCAGATGAATTGATCCTTTATGACACATTGTCCAAAAATTAACGCAAAAAACTGAACAAAAGACAATTACTTCAAAGAACTATTGTTCTTGTGTTTTCTAAAGTATTCCTCCTCAATGAGATATATCCACAGTTGGTATCTAAAATATTTGCTCCAGCTTTGCCGTGCCAAGATGTACGTCCTGCCTTGTGCTTCCTTACGTCGCAATGTGGTTTATACCTTTTCCCATACTGGTCACAAATACAAATACTTTCTGCAAAACAAAACGTTATTAAATTTTTAAAATGTATAAACAATTTGTTTCTTATTTAAGCGGCACTTTTAAACGAGGAATTGTTTCAACACAACTTTTTTCCCTTATACTTATCCTCTAAGAAGACATATTTACGAGACTGTTTAGTAATTTAAATATTAGTATCGTATTTTAAAAATGCTGTTTCATTGAATTATTACTGATTATATGAATATATGAACGTGAATTTAAAGATATTTTGAAAAAAATAATAATATCTTAAGACAGCAATGTGCTTTCAAAATTTGTATATATTTAGGTCCGAGTGGGAGCATCTCTGAAGTTGAGTCCGAGTGGGAGCATTTTCCATTTTTATAAAAAGAATTAAGAAAAACTGACTTTTGAATAGAAACATTTGAAACTAATATAGAATAATGGGTATACATGACTCGGTTTATGTTCCGGTACGTTAAAAATAATTTAAAGAAGGTTTTCAACCTTATTTCATATATGTTTCGGGAGAAGTCCGATTGGGAGCATTCAGAGAAAAACACTTATCCCGTTTTCAGGCCTAAACCAGGCAATAAATCTATAAACTTTTTTTACAATTATCTCAAGTACTACAGCCATTCTTTGGTGCGCTACATGATTTTTAAATACTCTTACGTTTTCTTATAATAAAATTGTATTTTACCTTTGAGTCGACGAAAAAATGGTCCAAGTGGGAGCATTTAGCAGGTGCGCGATGACGTAGTATCCTACCATTGTAATTGTATATAATATAATATGTTGTCTAATGGACCAGTCTGGTATACTGGCTTTGTGAAATAAAGATATGATATTATTACCTCTCATATTTTGTGAATGTTAATTTCCCATAGGCCACTGGGAGTTATTTTTACTGTTAATGCAAGTGTACCATGTGACTAAGAAATGTTTGTTTTTTTTACCTTAAACGGTCTTTATTGTAGACATAGATAGCTGAGATTTAATTTTTTACATAAATCATTGAGTGGTATGAACACATCTTGACACATACAGCTTCCTTTAGTTAGGAGTCATATCCGTTGCAATTGTTATAAGGTGTCTACAAAAAAGTTCCCAAAAGGGCTATATTCGTTAAGAGCCATATGCAAAGTAACGTAAAAACTATATCAAACAAAAACGAGATTTTCTCAGGAATTTCACGATTTTCCGAATTGTTAAGGTATTACATTTCAATGTTTTCTTGCGTACACGTGTAAATTAACGGATTTATTGGCTAGAAAGTTAAAAACACACAAACACGCGCCGAGAAACTGTTGCACATTCTTTTTAACATGCTAGATTCGGGGCGCCTTGGAGAAATAGGTTACTGCAATAACGGTCCCAGCAACTTTCTTATAAACTATATCATAACAAAAACATTGGTGATAGTTATTGTAATATTAAGTTGTCATCATGCCACAGTAAATAATCGGAAAGAGGAGTCATGGTTAATGCGAGAATAATAGTTTTATTTCTCTTTCCAAAGACCAATGTTGATTCTGTCTTATGGTTTTATTTTTATATAATTATATATAACAGACGCAACACCTCCAGTTTTTCATAACTGTTGCGGTTATCGGGAAATGGTAATGGACGAAAAAGGCGAAGAACTGTTCACTGTTACATGGGACGATATCTATGTTACGGATAATAGTGGCATTCGGCCGACTTCTTACGCTTCAATACCAAGTGGTAGTACTTTGCCAGCGGGTGACCACACAATTAATATTTTTGCCATCGATCAAGCAGGTCTCTTTGCAGGATGTCAATTTACATTGAGTTTAATAGGTAGGTGTAAACAATAGAAAAATATTTATAATTCTTAAAACTCTTAAATAATGCACTATTCAGCACTTGTTTGGTAACCAAATCATATACTGGTACAGATAGAGAGAAATAAAGAATATCTAAAGAACGTACAAATAGGCAAAATTGAAAATGTTGCAGGCTCGGTTAGATTAAGCCTGTTCATGGACGGTAGTGGAATGTTCAAGTTACCGTCCACGCCCCCCCCCCCAGCACCGGCTTAAACAGTATTCAACATGAAACATGAACTGGTAAAATTTAAAATTTTGAAACATCCGCAGATGTGTTCAAATGGCGGTTATCATGGAAATTTCAATGTGAAACGTTAATGCCATTCCATGAAAAGCAATGTATGGTCCCCAAGTAAAAGAAACAAGACTGTTCTAGAGGATTAGGGCAATAAGGCAAATTGGTTCTAAAGGTTTGATTCCTTTAAATGGTATTTATTAGTCCAGAAATGATTTCTTTAAATTTTACAATTTCTTGTGGGCTTTTAAGTATTGAGAGTTGAATACCACTCAACCCGGTGCTAGGGGTCGTAAGGGATGTTGCACTTATACATTATCCCATATCATGTACAGACTCAATGAAATCGGGTCTGCAGTTTTCAGGTAATGTTGTTGTGGTTTATGCTTCCGAGGGATCACTTTGTTTCCAGATTTTTTTCCTAATATTTAGCACAATTGTTTCTTTGTTATAATATTCTGTTTTAATTTTTTTCTTAACGTTTATGTGTGTAAATGATTATATAACTTCACTATGTATTGGCTGGGAAAATGGAATACAAAATAAAGTATTTCCTTGTAGAATTATAGCAAAAGAAAAGTACAAATACAAACAACAAAATAACACAACATTGTTCCTATATTACAAAATTTGATTTTTGATGTTTTTTGTTTGTTTTTAAAGTTTTGTCAGTTTTCGCAATTTCCGTTTACATTAAACTTATACAACTTATACTCGGTGATATTCACATGAAAACGGATAAGCTTAGAAAATTAAAATTTTCATACTTGTTTTCAATTTATCTACGTACAAAGCACGTTATCAAGCAAGTATACGAGTATCTATCTTCATACATCTATAAACATGTTTTCGTCATAGAAGACGTGGCATAGAAATGCCGAGTGACGCTAATTATTCATGAAAACAAGTATATATGTTTACTTTTCGCTGATTTTCAGTTCAGCGATGTGGAGACGTCCCTCTTACAAGTCGAGGCTATATTGTATCCGGTGATTGCCCGAATTATTATGGAGCAAAATGCCAAATTGCATGCGACACCGGGTACCAGTTCAGCTCCAACACAAAAGTGGCAACCATAGAATGTGACCTTGACGAAAACAATGAGACGCTATGGAGGCTGGGGAAAGATAACAATTTCTCATGCATTCGTATGTCCTTAAAATTATGAAATACAATGCACCATTAATAAACTGTCAATGTCAGTTTGCACTTTATTTCACATGTTGTCGTAATGTTATTTTGTTTTCCTAACACAAAAAAACAATGAATTTTGTTGTCATTTCTAGACCAATCCTCTTAGATCAGTTTGATACTTTCACATAACTTAATATATTTAGGTTATTAAATAGTGAATTGTACAATACGAATTAATTTCGGCAGCTTGAAGAACCAATAATAGAACACAAGATGAGTCTAGCTGTGTATTCCCGTATTGCACTTGCACAATGTTTAACAACCTGTTTATTCTATATCTAAATTATATTGAGGAAGCATAAAATGTGACTTCCGCAGTACGTAATTAAAATTTATTCAGACAAATTAGTCGTAAACTGATTCCATCGTTGACGTGACATGGAAAGGTCAAACGCATACTGAATAACAATAATGGATAGTACAAACATTTTGTGAAAAAATATCTGCATTTATACATGTATGTGATCGAGGCATATGATTTTTTTTATCTTTTAAATGAAATCAAACAAAATTAAATTTATTGATCAAGATGTCTTAAATGATACAGCATTCAAAATGGCCATATATTGGATGGCCACATAGTACAATTTGGATATAGAACAATTTATCACAATGAAGGGTCGTGACCTTTTCAAAGGAATACTTTCAAAATGATTTTTATCATATTATGTTATTCTACTCTATCTATTTACAGCAATTACATGCCCCCCTATTCTGACATCTAATACTGAAATAACCGGTTGTTCAAAGCCGCATTATTTTGGATCAATGTGTGAACAAACTTGTAGTAAGGGCTTCGAAAAAGTGAGTGGAAACAGCATCAGAATTTGTAAATCGGGCGGCTCTTGGTCAGGGGAAGATCTAAAATGCCAGGAAAAAAGTATGCATTTTGTTTGTAATTTTCAAACACTGCTCAACTTATTAAGAGCATGTTATTTTCAATGTATATATGGTTCAGCATTAGATATTAAAGGGAATTAACTGAGGTTTTTGGACAAACCATGACTTGAAATAATTTTGCGAAATTATTTTTTTTCCTTTGATGTAGATCCAGGCCAATAACTTGTGTGAGTATTCACTCACTCCGTTTTCAGGAATGATTATTTATGATTATTTGTAAGGAAATGATACCTAGAAGAAACATTTGGCCAGCAAATACAGGGTATGAGATTCGATGTGGACAGCTTCTTTCACTCCATTAATTGTCTTAAGTAATGAGATTGATTACTGACAAAAACAGACAGCTCACCACTGCAATTTCACATGTTGTCGTAATGTAATTTTGTTTTCCAAAAACAATGAGTTTTGATGCAATTTTTAAACCAGTCCTTTAAGATCTTTTGATACTTTCACATTACTTAATATGTGTAGGTTATTTAAAAGTAAATTGTACTATACGAGATAATTTTCGGCAGCTGGAAGAAACCATAAAAGGCCACAAGATGAGTCTAGCTGTGTATTCCCGTATTGCCTTCGCTCAATGTTTAATAACCTGTTTATTCTATATCTTAATTATAATGAGGAATTGCAAAAAAAGTTTTACGCAAGACGTTAGTAAAATTTATTCAAACAAATTATTTGTAAACGGCTTTTATCGTTGTCATTACATGAAAATGTCAAACCCACTCAAATTTCCAACACTGAATAACAATAATGGATGTTACAAACATTTTGTGAAAAAAATATCTGCATTTATATGTGATCGAAGCAAATAAAAAAAAATACTTTTTTATCTTTTAAATGAAATCAAATAATAATTTATTGATCAAGATATCTTAAATGATACAGCATCCAATATGGAAATATATTGGATAGCCACATAGAACAACTTATAAGCAGCGATTTGATATAGCACAGTATCTCAATTTACTGTCATGAACTGTTAAAAGGAATTTTTTCAGAATCCTTTTAGCATATTATGTAATTCTACTTTATCTATTTATAGCAATTACATGCCCCCCTATAATGACATCTAATACTGAAATAACCGTTTGTAAAAAGCCGCTTGATTTTGGATCAGTGTGTGAACAAACTTGTAGTAAAGGCTATGAAAAAGTGAGCGGGAGCAGCATCAGAATTTGTAAATCGGATGGCTCTTGGTCAGGGGAAGATCTAAAATGCCAGGAAAAAAGTAAGCACTTTGTAATTTTCCAACACTGCTCATGTCATTAAGAATACGATATTTTCAATGTATATGGTTCAAAATTAGACATTAAGGGGAATTCACTGAGGTTTTTTGACATGCCGTGACTTGAAATGATTTTGCGAGAAAATGTTTCTTTTGATGTAGGTCCAGGTTAGTGATTTGTGTGAAAATATCTGATTATTCGCTTCCTCCGTTTTCAGGAATGATCATTTAAATACTTTGCGCAGCGTTCGCGTAGTCGTTGCACTATCACGTGCGTCTTTTTTTCTGCGCTTCAACGAGGCTTTTGGGGATTTCTTTTAATTCTTAGACGTTTTTTATAAAAAAAAGATTATTTACTAGTGAGCCATTGAAAAATGATGTGATATTACCGGAGAAAAATAAAATTTTTTTTATATTATAAATATTTTAAAGAAAAAATTTTTATCAAAATTTTTCATATTATGACAATCGAGTATTAAGAGGCTTTTGTAATTATTCTTGAGAGTAACGACTTTTGTGAGACAAATATTATCTGCATTTATTTAATATGATCATGGTAAATCATAACACAATTCTTGTTCTTTAAAATGAAATAAAACAATGTTTAATCTATTGCTAATGAAGTCTTAAATTGTGTTTAAGAATTTTGAATGAACGGTATAAATGTATGACCAACCATTGTGTGTTTTCAACAGATTCCGATGAAAATTTTCATCTAACAAACAACGGCATTCTCATTGGAGTTGCGGTTATAATTACGTCATTTCTGCTGTTGAATTGTGGAATTTTGGTCTATTTACGAAATTTGTAAGTAACATTTAAATAGCATGTTTTTATTTTTCCCGTCTAGCTCTATATATCGCTCTCGAAAGTTCAACCTAATTTTTTTGAAAGCAAATATGCTATTCTTTTGTAAGAGTAGTTTCTAAAATCTGGAAAAAGAATGATTCCTACGAAGCTTTAAAAACACAATTTCACAAAAATTACAGACTCGGTTTGTTTGAGTCTGTACATGAGGGATAATGAAAAACATAACATCCCTCCCTAGCTCTAGTTGACACTGACACTGCACTGTATTAAGGTCATATGGAGACTTTAGAGCAGAATGGTGGAAGCAGACCTCAGGTACCCCTGTGCATTATTTCAATTAAGAGCGAATACCAATGTATAACCTTTGACAAACATTTTTCGCGCCTTATATGGATCCTTTCATATAGAAAACCAAATTGGAACGCTATTCGGCGAATTGTACATCATCAAGGTGGGTGCGCTATACTGAGACAAATATGCGCATCGTCGAATAAAGCTATCATGATCAAAATGATGATATATATAAAAGATAACAATGAAACCTGTTTTTGACGAATGAAACATGAGCAAAATAAAATGAGGCTATTCCTTGTGTGCTGTTTCTTCATGCTAAGATGTTTCTCTGTAATATCTCAGATATGGTTTTACCACTCAGTGTGGGCTTTTAGGGTCGTTAAATGTCAAATGTCCGTCCAAATTTAGTTCGTTAACACTCTTCTGGTCATATATTTACCTCAATTGTTACCAAACTTGGTCAGACTGTTTGCGGCAGTGATTGCTCCAATAAGTTCGAACATGAGTCTTCCCGGATAAAATACAAGGTCATAGCTAGAAACAGAAAATAGAAAAAATCTTCTAAACACTCTAGAAGCTACTAATTTTATCCAAATATCCTGGAAATTGGTCAGAAAGATTGTTTTGATAATTTCTATCTCAAGTTTGTATATTTGTTATATTGGACAAAAACTAGGTCATACAGCCCAAGTATGTAAAATCTTGTTCACACAGTAGCGGCTACTGTTTTGGTCAAAATACACTAGACATTTGTCAAAAAGATTGTTTGGCTGATTTCTAGGTCAAGTGTGAATATGCGTCTTTTGACGTCAAAACTACGTCACACAGCCTATTATGCAGCTTAACACTCTACAGGCTACTGCTTCGGTCCAAAAATCCTTAACATTTGTCAGAAAAATTATTCAGGTGATATCTAAGTCAGGTATTGGTCATCTAGTGTCTAAACCTATGTTACACAGCCCACATATGGAATAACCTTGTTAACACTCTAGAAGTAACATTTAAGCCTAACTATCCTCCAAATTAATCAAAAAGGGTCTTCGGATGATTTCTAGCTCAAGTGCAAATATGAGTAATCTGGTAAAAAGGCTAGGCACACAGCCCACTATATATCAAGACCTTGTTAAAACCCTTGATGAAACATTTTCACCTTAAATATCTTGGAAATGTTGATGCTTAACTGTGTACATGATTGATCTCGGGTCAAAAACCAAAGTTACACATGAACCTTTACTTAAAGAAAACAATGAAATTCAAATGATGTAGTTTTTGTTTATCATAAAATTCGAAATAAAAAAAAACATTGAAAACCAATGCGTTTATTGTATGAATTACGGAAACTAACAAGGAATGTTAACGAAAATAAATCAGTCTCAGGAAAAGATTTCCAAACAATACGCCTTCAATTTCATAAATAAAATGAATTTCATTTATATTTTTTGCAGGGGTGGAAAAATCGATACTAGTGTTGAAAGTAAAACCTCCTCTTTACAAAACCAAAATGGACACTCAGAACCACAATGTGGAACAAGTTTCGAAAGAAAAATTTCCTCTCCACAAAATCCACTCTCAGATTCACAACCTTTAACTCAGCGTGGGGTAGAGGAAACATTTAAAAAAGAGGAATACACGTGATAATAACAATTCAACTTCATAATTTTTATTTTGTTTTTGTTGTCTTTATTTTTTGTTGTTGGTTTTTTGTTGTTGTATATTTGCTGTTTGTTGTTGTTTCGTAACGACAGTCTTTTGATATATTGTTACTTACACAAAAATGTAAATGGTATTTTCTATTTCTAAACAATTCAAAATGTAGTGCATAAATGGTATAGATTTTGAAGGCAATGACCAAGTCAAAACGTTCCAAAACGAAAGGTAGACCTAGCCAACCAAAGATGCAATTTTCAAACATTCCGCGTGTTTCAGTGGTCAAGCCGATAAAATTTGTGTTGATGAAAAAAATACATATTGAAATATAAAAAGATAAACAGTTTAAGAGTATGTGAGTGAATAACTACGTAAATTAAGATAAACATATATATTATGGGGAAAGAAAAGCGTACAATGAATGTGGAAGGAAAATTCGAAAAGAATAGTAAAAGTGACAGCAATGAATCTTGTAATAGTAATAAATTGTCTGTCTTAGAAAAACAAAAAAGTCATACAGATTGGGGAACTGGTAACGAATTTGTAGTATTAATTACGTATTGACAATTGTCCTGTGGACACTTCAGACATATATGATGACACAGGGAAGATATTTACCCTGTTTAAATGGAAGATAAACACAAATGAAAGTATCTGTATTTAACTACATTTAACAACATTTTACTACATTCAATATGTAGTTCTCTGAAAATAATACATTATCCTTTTAACAAAATAAATAAAATGTAGATATCTGTTATTTATATATGTATTTCATATCTTCGTACTTGTTTCATAGTTTGGGAACCTTTCTGTTGTATCGTATGTAATTGGTGTGCAGGTATTAGTTACCCGTGCTCCAGAGCATGCCCATTAATTGGCTCATTTTGCTGGGGTTTACTTGTTGTGATGGCAGAGAACTGGAAAGCGATTGAATTATAATATTCAGATACTCATTCATTGGCTATTTTATCTGGGGTATCATATTGTGGCAACAGGGAAAGTGTTTTTATTATTGACTATGATACAAAAGAAAAGTAACATCAAAACACTAATACTCGGGGATAAGCCCCCTCGTACAATTAGAAAGCGCTCTTTCTATTATTTAACTGTTTATTCATCTACCGTTTGTTGATTTAATGTGACATTGTAATAAAATAGTGATAATTACTAATTACAAACGTTTATTTAAAATGCATAATAATTATTGTAAGTGTGATTGTGTATATTTTTACATATATTTTAAGATTATATTACGTAAATTGATCAATGTAAACTGATCTATGTATTTTAAGATTGTCTGTGATAATATATGACCTCTGAACATTGCAAAAATATTCTGTTCTGTTCTGTTATGTTATGTGATAAGGTGTTTCTTTTTGTAATAAATAAAAAAATAGCCGCTTCGTGTCAAACTTGTTTGAATAATTCAATAAGCGAGGTGATACATATAAACTTTACTTGAATAGGTATATGATAAATATTAGTGAAATATCAATAGTAAGTAGTAAGGTATAAATTGGTGAAAGAAATCATACGTTATGGGCAATGATATACGTTATGGGCAACGGCATACGTTAAGGACAACGGTATACCTTAAGGGAAACGGTTATCAGTTATACTCAGCTCTTCAGGTATATATTCCTAGAAAACAACCATTTCTTTAGCGAATTCTCAGAACCGATCTGACACACAGTGCCTGCATACAGATTCAGAAAAACGACGAGTACTTGATATTTTTATTGGTAAATCTTACAATCTAATATGCAATGTATCAAGCGGAGTTTATTACCTATACAAAACACAACATAATTATGTACATATTAAATGTGTAAACAGTATCTATAGCTTGGGTTTTAAACATAAGAACAGTATCTCTTTCTTGCCTAGTGTTTCATAAATTAATTTAAAACATACTTTCTTTTTTTTTCACTTTTAGCTTTCTTTTCAAATTGGTTGATTTGGTCGAGTTGATTTGTACCCCGTTTTTTCTGCTGGATGCTTTTAATAACTTCTCTGAAGTTTAACAATAGTTGATCTCCAAAAGTACTAGTGGAATGCAAATAGTTCATAATAGCAAATCGTTCTTTTTGTGGTGTAACGCTAAGTCCTCCTCTAATCGATCACATTGAAAACAGTCTAAAGCTAGAATAAGGAAGTCCACATTGAGAAGCGATAAGAAGTTCTCAATATTACAACACGGCGAACTTAATAATTTAAAGAAGCGTTTAAGATCTTCTGCACATGGTTTGTCTAATATCAATTCAAACAAGGAAATCAGAATTGCTGCAGCAATACTGTCCGTCAGAATATTTTTTCAGGATTCCGTGATAAACTGCATTTCATAAATCGCGATCTTCTCATTAAATTTTCCATTATACAAGTCACTTCTATTTATGTGTTTTTCTACCTTTTAAAATCTCTGCAGTAGTAGCAAATTAAATTCACACTGTACGTACATTTCATGCATCCGTTAAAGCACTCGAATTCCACCTTAATGCTGCATCCATGAATTTGGAACGTTTCATTAAATTTGTATTTCTTATGCTGAACAATTAACGACCTTTCTTGTGAATGAACACTTACTGCGCTTCGGTGACTTTTGAAAGTTTTTTGAAAAAAACTCGACTGCTCACCCACCATTACCACCACCAACATTACCAACACCACCCATTCAATGAGTAAGTGCAATTTCACAATGAATGAAAAACGTGATGAAACAGAAAATTTAATTTTGAAATATGTTGTCTCACCATTCAAATATGAAAACATCGTTATTTTACCCTTTTAACCTTGTATCATTAATTGATAAAAAACATGTCATGGGACATTGTACCTCAATAAACTTCAATGTGCGTGTGTATACATTGAAGATGATGAAATTAATTTATGAAATAAATGTAGAAGCTTGTTAAAAAACTTGGTCAGTAGAATTTCTGCGGACGTACATAATCATAGAAAGTCAGGCGCCTAAGCCTCCGCTTTTCGAAACTACGTTGTTATGCGCGTAGCAATTAGTTTCACTGTTTTTTTGTGTGTCCAGGTGAGTGAGAAAAATAATGAATCCCTGGGTTAGATAGAGGATAGGGAAATCCCAACGCCAAGGCTCGTTCCCTATGGAAAATGACAAAATAAAAAATTCTCTGAAAGTGATTTTTTTCTTTTGATATATCCTTTAAATAACAATAGTTATCTTTAAAACTTCATTAAATGCCGTTTTATTTTTAAAATAACATTTCTACAACATTAAAATTTTTGGCCGCCAGGCCGCTGGGCCGCCAACTTAAAAAAAATGACAAAATAAAAAAGTTCTCTGAAAGAGATTTTTTGTTTTAATATATCCTTTAAATAACAATAATTATCTTTAAAACTTCATAAAATGCCGTTTTATTGTCAAAAAAATTTCTACAACATTAAAATGTTTGGCCGCCAGGCCGCTGGGCCGCCAACTTCACGCCGCCAGACCGCTGGGCCGCCAACTTCACGCCACCAGGCCGCTGGGCCGTTAACTTCACGCCGCCAGGCCGCTGGGCCGCCAACTTCATGCCGGCAAGCCGCTGGGCCGCCAACTTCACACATCTTGTTATATATCAACTCATTGACATGAAATGCTTTGTCTTAAAAAACTATTTTTACCGTTATAGTCGAAGGTAAAAAAGAGGGTTTAATCGTATCTCAAAGCGTTTTTTAAATACGGGTTTCACGCAAATATAGTCACGTGTCGTGACCTTGAAAGAATACAATTATAAGACACTCTTTATCTAGTTTTTGTAGGTGTGTATTTGACTGATTTCACGCGACACTAGTTTTTTTATCTAGTTTTTTAGGACGGAGAGGGGTATGTCTTTGACTAATTCACATGACCTCAGATTCCTGTTTCAACACCTGACTGATACGGTGTGACATTGAGTAATTCTTGAAGAACAAAAGATTGATACCTACACAGTTCATGTTTCATGACACATAAATTATATGGTAAAGCATTAAGTAATTCTCAAAGAGCTACTTACTCACGCATTATTTATTGAATATTTAACTCATATTTTATAAGTTGAATGTAACTGCTCTTTTCATCATGTTTAAGCCTCTTCTTGGGTTAAGAAGAGGCGTCTGGTTACTATATCAGCCACTTTCTTCTAGAACACGTTCACACATGTTTTAGCATCATTATACACTACGTAACTGTTTTCGAAATAACTAAGCAAAATGGAGGATGGAATAATGAATAAGTTTTTAGATATGTTTGGAAAAATGTCAAAATGGGGACAGTTGTCTAATACAAGTTTTACACAATACTTGACAGATGAAAATAAACATTTAAAATCAGAACTTCTGTCTTTCAAAACAGAAGCCAGAAAAAGACAGGAGGAGTTGAGTGATGAGCTGACTAAACAAAAACTGAAAAACAAAGCACTCGAAGATAGCATCATGCGAAAAAATGCTAGTTTTGCCGTTTCTGACAGGTTAAACTCTAATGGAAGCATTAGTTCAACCACCAATGGTATGATGTCATATTTTCCAGGGACTACTTCAACTGTTACTTCTGACAGCATCAACCTTAACAAGGATGCCAGCTTTTCCTCGCCCATAAATGATGTATCATCATATACACCATCGTATGCATCGCCGTATGTTCCAGGGTCTTTTGAGCAAGCTACTGACAGTACTAATTTTAGTATCAACATCAGCATTACAATAGTTCAGTCTCGATGTAATAAAAAGGATTCACCAAGGATTTTGCCGCATCGTCAGTAAGATATTGCCTTATTTGACCAATCTGTCGGATGTGCATATAGCATGCTCGGGAGACACTGTTTACATGAGTATTCATTCCTAGATGAGAGAGATTGATTGTCGGAACCGATAAATAAATTGTGTAAAATGCGCAATTATGAACAAGGTGGTTGAACGAGAATATTGGCTGCAAAGTTCAAACTTGACAAAATGGCTACCGAGTCATGAATATTTACAACACCCGCACGTATTTTCCTCAGGTAAGTGAGTTTGTATGATATTATGAAATTCTTTAATATGCATATTCCTCAAAGCAATGATAATGGCACCCTTGGTTTCAGTTCTTCTATAGCTTCAAAACTACTGATATTACAAAGTTATAAGGAGAAAGAGGTAAAGGGTCAAATCGGCCCTATACCAACTCGACACGGGTCAACTCGGCACAGGTCAGCTGGGCCATCTTTTAAAAACATATATTAGGATATAGATTGTTTAGATTGTTAAGTTGTTGAAAAAGTTGGCAATGTACCTGAACGTTTTGCTTGAAATTATCTTTGTTAAGAAGAGATATCAATACAATATATGTTAAATATTGATCAATAAATATAGTTTTTAGATTGAATTTTGTGACAATAAATGTTATTGTATTTAAAACTGTTTGTTCTTTAATACGACCAATGCTGTTTTAACGATATCTTTTACAAAAAATCTGGAGTAGCAAAACATGCATATAAATTGTAAATTCTTTCTTTCCCTACAAATTCAAATACAAATTGGTACTTTCATCAATAAAACTTTTCAATATCCTTAGGTAGATGTCTGTCACTGTGAAAATGTTAAACCATGAAAGTAATGATGAAAACGTATCAAAAATAATAAAAGTAATCCACCGTAGGGAACGTGTAACAGTATCGCGTTTTTCGGTTACAGTATAGAATTTTCAAGATGGAGGATTATTTGGGGAAGAGAGGTAGGTGATTTTTATTCCGGTCCATACTACAAGTAGTTTAGTTTCTAAAAGATGTTTTTGTGCTTTGCTTGTAAGGAACAGAATCCGGTATCTATTCATATATTTCTTTGGACCCTGCCCCGCAGGTTTAGGCAGCACACCACACTAAATGAAGCCACAGCTTCGAATGGCCAGGGAGGATTTCATGGATATAGTGACTATTGTGGATTAAAATGACTGGTTGTCTTTGAAATGCATTTTCAGCATGAAATTTGTTTTTGTAACATGTAATATGATCATTGGCAAATTCGAAAACATGGTTAGAAATAACATGCTGTTTAATATAGATGTCAAGGCCGCCATTGTTTGTAAACATTGCTTTTAAACAGCATGCTCGGTGAAAACAAGTGATTTTACAGGGGGTACAAACTTTCAGCAATAGCAAAAAATCTACAAGGCCAAGCACCTATTTCTTTGTGATAGTTTGCATGCATAGGGAGTTGCTAAAGCAGTGACAGAGTTTCTGTAGTCCGTATATTTGCAGGTATTTTTTGCCGGAGGGACGAAAAATGTTGTTTTGGGTCTCGGACCACTATAGATTTTTGGCTTTTACGGAATGAATTGGAATTTTTTTAACTGCCTGACTGTTGCACATGGGATGATTTCATTACAGATTTGCAATGTTATGACATATATGTTCTTAACAAAATGTGTTTTCTTTTTTCAGGTTGTGTAGTTTGGGATCAGATTTATTAGACATATTGCTTGTAGGACATTGACGGCAGAAACTTGAAATTTAGTGTGGAGTGCTACCTTTTCGCTATATTGTCTCATAAATATGCAGATTTGACGGTTTCAAAATTTGATTCGAGAAACCAACGCATTTTCTCCATTTCCGACATTATTTAAGCATGCCTAGAAAAAGTAAATCTGCAAAACGTTAGTCCTTTATGTTAGGAAACGTTTATAAAAGTAATTGACCAGTTGAACCTATTTTTCTGTTGGCAAAATGCGTTTGAAACAATAAACAAAGTTACAGTTTAGAGCGAGGTAATTTGTGCAGGGTTACAGCATAGACCTAGCGATTTGTATCCGATTTTATTACAGTTTATACCCAGATTTCGGTTACAGTTTAGACTTCGATATTTTCTATATAATTATACTAGGTAAAATGTATGAATGTTACATAGACTTTTAAATCTATGTGAGCTTATTGGCCCTATGGCTATTCGTCCGTCTGTCGTACACATGCTTGTGCAATCTCATCCGCTCAGTAACTACTTGACTAAATGTGATGAAATTTACATGACTTTCTATCAATTAAGTCGTTCAAATGGTTTCGGTTGCAATCAGGGATATGAAAACCCAAAACAAAGATTTTTTAAAAGAGGCAATGTTTAAAGACCCTTCTCGTCTCGAACCAAAAACATTCAAATCAAATCATGATCATGGCGTCATTTCGAATGCTTCTTTGTTGAAGTTACGATTATTTTGTCATTGTTAAATAAAAAGTCGTTTTTTTATTTCAGACATCCTGTATAGCAGTTTTCATGTTTCTGAAAAAGAATATAATATTGAAAGTTATAGAGTATAAATTAAGGTCAGACAATAACTATATCTTCTCTAGTGAGTCTGATGGAGGTACATAATAGTGACAGAGTCGGGATAAGGCCGTCGACTTCAAATCATCCTTCATTTACTGCTGTAGTTGAAATCCAATCATGACTTTGGATTCTTTGTATGTGAGGAATCTATCAAGCTAATTTACGGACGGTCGGTGGTTCTAGTCAGGCGCTCGTGTCTAAAATGTTTCTCAAAGGGTATCTGAGGTCTTTCTTTACACTAAAGCAGGAATGTTTTCACATGACCTCGGTGTCGTTGAAACTTAAGATGCATGTTCAAGAAAACCAAACGTAACAAAATAGAGTTAAACAGAATCGCTAAAGAAATTCCAACACAACAAAATTGAAAATGTTAATAAACCCTTTTAAATACATACGAAATACATTATGGTAGTTGGAAATTCCAACTAAAAATAGAATTTAAGGTTGCAGTATTGCTCACTTGCCTGCTTGTTAATTGTGTCTTTTGACAGCCTATTTTTGGTATGCAGGCTCACTTGCCTGTTTGTTAATTGTGTCTTTTGACAGCCTATCTATGGTATGCAGGCTTCATAACCCCCGATCCTCTCTCAAACTGTGATATTGCAAAACTACAGCGAATTCAAAACATGTGTGCAAAACTAGTATTGAGCAGGCGCTATACGATCTACACTGGCTGCCCATCAAGGCCAGAATACAATTCAAGATTATTGTATATATGTACAACTGTCACGTTGGAAATGCACAAACTTATTTGACCGACCTGCTTACACCTAAAGTTCAAAAACGTTCTCTGAGATCATCATCATTTTCAGTTGACAGTTATGAAGTGCCTTTTAATAAGTGTAAAACTTTCAGTGACAGAAGTTTCAGTACAATCGGCCCGAAACTCTGGAATGATCTTCCATTAAATATCAGACAATGCTCATCAGTTGATAGTTTCAAGAAACACTTGAAGACTCATTTCTTCAGAGACTATTTTAATCTTTTTTAGTCAAAGTAAGTAAAGTGTAGAAACTAAGTGACAATGTTTTTCTGCGCATTAACTCTGTGATAAATATCTGATTTTACAATGTATTTATTATCCAAGTAACATTTGCATGTCTTTTACCATGTTCTTTAATAATATAGCCATATTTTTAATTATTTTAGATAACATTTCTTTCTTTTATTTGTGATACCATGTTTTAGATTTTAGATTTAGAATTAATTGTTTTATTATCTTAAACTACATTTATTTATTACTTTTAATGTTCTGATGTGATATTGTACAACGCCATTGAATATGAATTATATGTAGAAATAGGCGTTTAAGCAAATAAAACAGTTTCAGTTTCAGTTTCTCTCTCAAAATTTCATTTTGTTTAGTTTCACTTATTGGGCACAAACACGTTTTAACCTGAGGGGGATATGCCGCTTTTCATAGAATGGCAATAACGAGTCACATTGAGGTTCCATGATAACCGCCATATGAACACATCCACAGATAACCGCCTCCGTGGTCGAGGGGTTAGAGTCGATGTCTTCTAATCCAGTTACCTCTCTGGCGTGGGTTCGATCCCCGGGAGATGCTTTGGTAGTTTAGCGCGGAGGAAGGTAGTCTAGTACTGGTGTAACTCTCCAGGAACGATGGTTAGGAAACTACCCGCCTATATGACTGAAATACTGTTAAAAAAGGCGTAAAATGATACAAACAAACAAACAAACATCCACAGATGTTAAAATGTCTGAAGTGTACCAGTTCATGTTTAATGTGAATTCTGCTGAAGCCGGTGCTAGGAGGTGTGAACGGTAGCTCGCAGTTACCACTACCGTCCATGAACAGGTTTAGTCAAACTGAGCCCTCAACATTTTCATGTTTTCCGTGTTGGACTTCTGTTAAGGATTCTTTTTTCTCTATTTTATTACTAATAGACATTATTATAATGTGTAATGAAATCAAGCAACAATCTTTGTTCTCTCATTACAATTCGATAAGAGTAACTGTTGTTGTCGTGAAAACTACGGAAGCTTAGAGGGGACATTCCGATTTTATATTATTTTCTTATCTCGTGGCCACGAGATATAACTCAGAAAAAAAAACAAAAAAACAAACAATCCCTATCTCGTGGCCATGAGATGTAACTTAGAAAAAAAACGAAAAACAAAATGCTATCTCGTTCCCACGAGATACAACTAAGAAAAAAACAAAAAACAAAAAAATCCTTATCTCGTGGCCACGAGTTATAACTCAGAAAAAAACGAAAAACAAAAAAATTTGCTATCTCGTTCCCACGAGTTATAACTCAGAATAAAAAGCTGATTGGCCGATTAACTCGGGATAACAAGATAGCGAATTTTTGTTTTTTTCTGAGTTATAACTCGTGGCCACGATATAGCAAATTTTGTTTTTTTTTGTTTGTTTTTTTCTATCTCGTTGACATAAAATCATTCTATAGGCCGCTATCTTGGCAAGTATGTCTACTCGCGCCGAAATCAATGTGCACATCCTCGATTTTATTGGTCAACTAACTCGTTACCACGACTAAGATAAGTTCATCTGATTGGCCGGCTAACTCGTGGCCACGAGATAGCGAATTTTGTTTTCTGTTGGGGTTTTTTCTGAGTTATAACTCGTGGCCACGAGATAGCGAATTTTTTTTTTTCTGAGTTATAACTCATGGGAACGAGATAGGGAATTTCGTTTTTTGTTGTTTTTTCTGAGTTATATCTCGTGGCCACGAAATCAGAATGTCCCCTCTGAGCTTCCGTAGAAAACAGTCCTTACTTAGGACATTACTTATTCTGCAAAAACTCTCAATCTGAAACTTAAAGTAAGAAAAATAGCAAACTATAACTTTTCTGCTGAAGAAAAAAAGTGATACAACCTTTCAAAAATGTATTAGATATAAAGGTATGAGTTATTTCATAAAAGTAATAGATACACGAACTTTGTTTGAAATTTAGCAAGTATCTAAACTGTAACAGAAATCTGGGTATAAACTGTAACAAAATTGGATCAAAGTCACTAGGTCTATGCTGTAACCCTTCAAAATTAACCTCGCTCTATACTGTAAGATTGTTTATTTTTTCAAATACATTTTACCAACAGGAAAATAGGTTCAACTGGTCATTTACTTTTATAAACGTTTCTAAACATTAAGGACTAACGTTTTGTAGATTAACTTTATCTAGGCATGCTTAAATAATGTCGGAATGGGAGAAAAATGCGTTGGTCTCTCGATTCAAATTTTTAAACCGTGAAATCTGCACATATTATGAGACAATATAGAGATAAATCTGCGGTGCAGGGTCTGAAGAAATATATGAATAGATACCGGATTATGTTCCTTACAAGCAAAGCACAAAAACATCTTTAAGAAACTACACTACTAGTAGTATGGATCCGAATCACCTACCTCTCTTCCCATAAATAATCCTCCATCTTGAAAATTCTATACTGTAACCGAAAAACGCGATACTGTAACACGTCCCCTACTGTGTAATCATTACCAGTAATATATATTTGTGGGCCGAGTTGACCCGTGCCGAGTTGGAATAGGGCCGAGCTGACTCGAGGGCCGGGTACGTTTAAGGGCCGAGCTGAAGATGTACATATTTTGATATTTGACACGTGACAGTCCAGGGCGATTATATGCTCATTTATTCGCAACGGTAAGTTTTAAAGTTCACCAAACAAGACAGAATATTATCTTTCAATACTGTGTAAATGTTGAATTTGCATGTTCCAAATAAAGTTTCAATACATGAAAATATCTTGTTCAAGTGCATTTAAATTGCAAACTTTTTTTCTGTCAAATATTAAATTGCATACAGTATGGATTCAGCGAATATCATATTGAGAAATTTGTAAATGCAATTGTGCTTTTTTCAATGGTGGTACAGTTTGGTCGCCAGTAACGAATCTTCTCCAGTAGCGAATCAAAATCGTTAAACTTACTATCTATAATTATTATTGTCAAAGAAAATGTTATTTAAACGCTGTTATTGTTTTCAGGAACCTTTAGCAGATATGAATACACTTTGTTTACTTTCGATGGTGACCTGTTTATTTTCCCATGATGCTATCCGTGTTACAGGTACCGACATGTACACAATTGTAGCCTCGTTTTGAAACATAAAATTCGGAACGTCATACTGCGCTGATTTAATTTGATATTTCTTTTCAAAAGCTTAAAAGCATAATTAAAGGTAAGTTTCCATAGACCAAAATAAAACAAAAAATACAAACTAATAATAATGTTAAACAATTTATTTTCGCACCAATGTAAGCACATGTGTAGTCGCCAGTAGCGGTTAACATAAGAAAAAAATACGCAATATGGCGGGTAAACTAGGCAACATGGGGGTCGTCTCAAACATTATTTGATCTGTCAAAATTACTTTTTCCATTCATTTCTTTTTTGTTTTATATGATTTTACTTATAAAAAACTCAACTTTACAAGCATCTGATTATTAACATATGTTTAGTCAATACAATCTGTAGACAGTAGTATATTAAGTTCAATATTACATAGTTGTGTATAAAAAGTTTTTATTTATGAACTGTAATTGTTCATGTAGGCCCTACAGTTATTTAATTTTATAAGATATAAATATTACATTTAATTTCAGATTATGGGTCCAAAGCGTAAAGGGCCAGGAACTCCTACCCAGAAAAAGGCAAAGACGATTCTAAAGAAGTATGGTAGAAGAATGACCCCTGACAAGAGACAAAGACTGAGGAAGGCATTATTTAGTGTAAGTAAGGAAGGAAAATCATTAAGGAAAGCAGCAGAGGAAAATTCACTTACTTATTCCTTTCTGTATAGACGTTATTCAGAACAAGTAGACTTGTTTAAGTGTAAAGGTCCAAATTCTGTTTTTACTGAAGCTGAGGAGGAGAAAATGGCTGAGTGGCTTAGTGAAATGGCATAGCGTGGGCTTGGTTTAAAACCATGTGAATTTTAAGATTTTGTGGAAGATGTTGTGAAACAAGAGAGAAGAAAGACACCTTTTAAGTCAGGTCGGCCTGGTATGAAATGGTATTATGCATTTCTTAACAGAAACAAACATATTATCAGCTCCCGGACCGAGACCGATTTAGAATTGAAGAGGTCAAAAGTCACCAAACAGAAAACAGATGAGTGGTATAACAGGTTTAAGGACTTCCTTATTGGTAAGGAGTTGATCAATTTGCCTGGCAGAATCTGGAATGCAGATGAAGTGGGATTTAATATGGGAGCCAACAAAAGTAAGGTTATTGGGCCTGCGAGAAGAGATTTAGCAGTACCTCACATTACAAGTGGGAAGCAGAAGCTAACTGTTATGTTTTGTGGTAATGCTGCAGGACAGATGTTACCACCCTACTTTGTCTACCCAGAGCCTAAACCAAAGGGGTACAGCCCACTGAGTAGTGCATTGGAGGGAGCTGATATTGCTTTCACCAAGAAGGGATGGATGAATAACATAACATTTGGAAAATTCATCGATCACTTCGACAAGTTCGCTGGACCAGAGCGACCTATCGTCTTGCTTTTTGACAGTCTGAGTAGTCACATTGACCCAGACATTTTTCTAAGTGCAAAGGCAAAAGGCATCGAGTTGTATAGGATTGTGCCAAATGCTACCCACTTGATGCAGCCCTTAGATAAGGGTGTGTTTGGGCCAATGAAAACAAAATGGCATGGTGTGTGTAGAAAATACACCCGAGAAAATCCAGGCAAAATAATTGGAAAGGAAAATTTTGCACAGAAACTAACAGAAGCATACTTACAGTTTTACAAACCTTTAACTGTAATTAATGCATTTAAGGCATAAGGCATCTACCCTGTAGATAGCACCGTGATCACCAGTGATATGTTTAAGCCGTCATTGACATTCAGTGATAGTGCGTCTGCAGCAGCACCTGAGAGTACCTCAGAACAATAAGCATCTGTGACTGAAGAACAGTCAAAGGCCAGAGGTGCACTAGAAATGCTTGAAGAGAGTCTCTCAACTCAACTGTTAAGGAAAGGTATGAGACACGCCTGAAGGACGGATATGATTTGGAAGGAGTATCACCTTGCTTTGATGTTTACAAGAAACTTCACAAGAAAGCATTTCCAGCTGCAGACTCTCAGCAATATAGTGGTCTTGAACTTCTTGCTGATGCAGCAATATTTCGGAAGGACCAAGAACAACCTCGTCCTAGTTCCAGCTGTTCCATTGCATCACCAATACTGTTGGAAAGCTTGAAGTTGCCAAAGGTTGTAGAGCCCCAAAAGCCTGTTAGAAAAACTTGAACAAATATTCTTCCTGATAATTTAACATCAGCAGATAGTATAAGAACTTTTTCTCTGAAACAGATAGAAAAAGTGAAGGTATTTGCTGAGAAAGAAAAAAGGGAAAAGAGAAATACATTAAACAAAAGAGTAAACAGCAATGTCCTAGCAGAAAGAAAGGTTCAAGGTCACTCTCAGCAAAGGGGAAAGTGCCTATGTCTGCCTCTGAAAAACTCCAGAAAGATGTCCAAAGCCATGATAATGATGATGTGTGTTGTGAAGCTTGTCACATGATATATAAGAAGGATGAGGAACTGGGTTTGGGTAGAGTGTGGGTAGAATGTGACCTTTGCCAGAAATGGATGCATACAGATTGTCTCAATTATGAAATTAATGAAAATGACCCATTCCTTTGTCCTAGATGCTATAAAAACTGACACTAAGTGCTAAATATCACTATATTGAGGTAGATTAGATGAATATTTGTTTTTTTCCTGTTAAACTTTATCTCACTAACCAATCACTAAGTTCCATTCATGTTTTTTTATCAAGAGTAGCAAATTAAAAAAGTAAAGCATATAATTATATATAATTATATATTGTAAAATACTTTAATAATAATAATGATAATAATGTGCATAATAATACTATTTGTTTCTTTTTAAGCCTTTTGAGTTATATAATTTTTTTTTCTGGTATTTTTTTAGTATTTAAATGCCTTACTTATACAATATTGTATCATTAATACAAAAGCTGTATTCCGAGTTGCTTAGATATAATATATTATATTTTCAGTGTTATGCAAATGATGGGCCCTCTACTGACAGACCTACAAGTAGCAGATGTGACCAATCACCTGTTGGGAAAATGCCTTCAAACCCCACAAAAATTTTACTGAAAAACTGTGTTATTAAAGGCTATCATGTCTTTCAAATCCGTCCTCCAAAAACAAATCCACCTACACAACTAACTATTGATAGGGAGTACACAAATACCCATGATGCAAATGCTTGTCTTGTCTGGCTCCCACCTTTGGAAACATTCCCGGAACATATTCATGATCAGTTCACTGACGAAAAAAGACAATTAATTTTAAGTGATGTAGCCAGGTCACCTATTGGACATGTGCCTAAATGTCTCAGTGAGGTATTTTGTGATGTCATGGATAATGGTGGCAAGATATTTGCTGAAGTCACTGGGGACCCAGTACCTAGTTTTCCACCATGGCCATCTAAAGACCAGGAAGGTGGTGGCATTGTTTTACCTTGCCAATACTCGTTTTTTGATATTGATATTGATGTGTGTTTTAATAAACTTAAGAAATGTTTGGATAATGTCACTGAGGGCAAGATTATGGAACTTCTGAAAGAACTATAAGCATGTTAATTTGTTATAATCACAAGCATATGTCTCATTTTATTAGCAATACTTAAGGATATAGGCTAGCTTTTATTAAAGGCGTTAAAGTACATCTCATTATCATGTTTTTTTGCAAGTTTGAATATGTAAGACTTAGTTCATTTAAATAAAAATCAGCTGTTTTCTGTCAATATTGTCTGTTTTGCGAAAGTTCCTGCATTCAAATGTCACGTGATTCTTTACTGGAGATACTGATTCGCTATTGGGGAATCAGCGATGGCTAAAAAAGAATCTGAAAGTTATTAAAAAGAAAGGTTTTTTAGATAAATCTGTGTTTATTTATTGCATGTACTAATAACAGTAAGAAATATGTAATGATATAGTAAACATCATTATCTTACATCGAAATTTCAGTAATTGTTCCCGAAGTGATTCGTTATTGGCGACTAAACTGTAGTGTACTGGTGACAGAACAACAGTACGATGGTGACAGTACGATGGTCGATCGTACTTTCGTACTGTCACCATCGTATTGTTCTGCTTCGAGCTTTTTTGTTCTCAGAGAAAACGCGCGCTGGCCCAAGGGGAACATCGTAATTCAACGATCTTAACCACCTCGTCACAAAATTGTAACACAAAGAAATAAGTTACTAAAGAAAATGTGAAAACTTACAATTTTCTCTGATGACCTCAGCACAATAGTCAGGGTTTGGAATGCCCAGTATCATGTCTATGGATTGGGTATCCATTCATTTCACTAAATCTCCTTCAGAAAGACCCTTTTAACACTTTTTGGAGGATAATCCAAACTTTAAAACTCGTGAGTTTAAGAATCCAAAACTAAGATATCCGTAAATTACTTTTTGATGCTTACTATAGTAACTAAATACCTACGGCGGTGTATACAGTATGTACACGGCGCCAAACCACGTGCATCAAATAAAACACGCAAAAACTCTTTTTAAAAAATCAGACACTAATTGAAATCCAATGTCAATATAAATCCGAATAAGCTTACCAACTTAACTTTTATTGTCTTTTATAAAAACAAAGACATTTGTTCGTCTGATGTGACGGATGCCATCAAAATGAAATAGACATCATTTAATGTAAATTTCACACTATAAATAGCACGGCGTCAATCAGTTTACAAATCGCTTATAACGCAAAAGAAAGCGTGCACTTATTTATTTATTTATCCTTTTCTTTTTTTAATTTCTCAGATTCCAATTTTGTAACGTTAAGTGTCATTTGAAAGGACATTTATTTATTTTTGCAACTAACGTTATTTTTTCAACGTTTTTCATTTTGCTTTTAAATATTTGGATTCGTACCTATATATATTTGTATATATGTACAAGACAAAATCAAAAACGAACGAATGTCAGAAAACGTGCTGTTTTATCATTAATGACAATTTTATAGTAGTTAATTCCATGTGTCTGTCCGCCATTGTGTCTTACCTTTGCACAATACATCGGCTCGTGCTGTATTACGGTTGGTGCAAGTGTTCTATTCCAATTGATGATATATAAATGAACATATTAAATATGTATATTGCATATATAATCAAGCCACAGGTTCATTTCTGCCCGAAAAATATGTCGAGGTTATGGGCGAGGCAAGACGTGTCGATTTTTTGTAGCTTATTGTGAAGTTGCAGTATATGAAAAACGGGCACATGACAAATCAGCACATAAATAAAACATTCTAGTGTTCCGTGTTATACATGTTTTCTACGTGTCATACCTCATTTTCTTATTACAATGAAATTTTACTGGATTGTTTTCCATCACTGGTTTGTTTTTAGCAGGGAATGACCTGTGCATGTGCAAAGAGGGTACCGTTTGAGCAGATTTCGCAATGAGGGTACCGATATGGATATGCACCGTGAAATACTTATATTAAAGATTTTATGTTTCACATGACTGTGCAGGTATCCGATATAAAAGAAATGTTGATTTTAAAAGCGGTGAAATTTAACTGAAATGGAATCAACACCATTTGTGTAGGGGAGAGAATTCTAGCATTACTGTTCAATTTCATAATTTTTCAAAGGGAGACACATCCACCGGTCATATCTGATAATTTCCATTTGGTTTCAACTTATAAATTGATTTGATGTGTAGCCAGTATTCTAAGAAATCAAATAGTTGTTTCATGAATGGTTCATTTGAGAGTATTTTATGTCTTGGGAAAAGTCATTGTGTCTTTTTTAGTATGAAAAAAGGGATGCTGGAAAGGTTTTGTGGTCAAAGTCTTTTCTAGTTGACTGTTGAAAAATGATTAATTGTACATTGGAGGATTGCATTATTGAGATTCTGTTCTATTTTGTTCTATTCCGTTAATTGTGAAATTTGTAAAACAAAATCGAGTTTTAAAATGACATGTTTCTATCAAGCCACTTTTCTTCTGTGATTCACCAGCAATATTAACCTTGCACTGGTGTTATAGAGAGAAGGAGGTGTAATATATTTTATTGGTATACTCCACTCATCCCACAGATGGTACGCTAAATGTGATGTATTTTGCATTGCATAAAATGTAAACTGTGTTAAATTTGTATAATTCCACAATGATGCATATTATATGTAGGTTTAAGGCCTGTGTATCAGTTTAAATGACTGATTGGCCACTAGACATGTTGATGGTTATGCTCTGAACGTGAACACAAGATATGGTTGAAATTAATGTCCTACTTTATTTTACTTTGTATTTACCTGTTGTTATATACTTATTTCAGAGTGTTTCACCTACTTGATGTAACAACCTTAAGTCAAGCTGGATATAAAAACATGATTGAACAAGATAATTGTTGTTGAAATTGATACAGGTATAACAATACCAGAAACGACTTGACACTCAGTGACACTGAAAGAAGAGTCCGAAATAACCCGTATCAAATATACGTAGAGAGAGACAGATACACGAATATTAACGCATTCACAGTTGTTCACAAAATTGGAGATAAAATCAAGGAAGATATCGCTTTTAAAATGACTTGTTGGTAAAAAAAAATCCTTTAAAGGTTGTGGTACATTGTTGGCAATATTTTTTCATAAATTTAGAACTTCAGTAGCGTAGCTAAGCTAAAATTTATAGTATGCACTTTCACGTAAGATGGGGCTAAAGGGCCCGTTTCAGCCCCCTTTAGCTCTATGATTTCCATAATTTATAGGTGCTTAAATTATGCATTTTCATGTCAATTTATTTAATTTAAGATTTAAGTCATCAAAGGATGCCCTCCCCTTTCCTTTGCATCCGCTTGAGATGACAGAAGATTCAATTTAATACATTTTTACTCTAGCGGAAAACGTAATATAATCAAAGTGCTGAAAGCACTGGATACGACGGCTATAAACAGTCATGTTGCATCAAGAGCTTTCTATTTTAACAAAGGGCAGTAACACTGCCAGAGTTTAATGGGGCTTTGAAAGAGACCTCTTATTATGATGCCAAGACTTGTATAAGGTTTAATGTGAATATTTTGTTTTCTTTCGAAAACTGATGTTTTAGTTTCGAATGAATACCACCAGTATGCATGTCGTTCTTAAGATAGATTTGCTTGAATAGATTAAACCAAGAGTCTGGTGGGACAAACACTCCCTTCGAAGCTCACTGAATAAACTTATGTTACTTCTTCTATAAGAAAGTAAGCGATAGTGTAACATTCGACCGATGTGCAGGAGAGTAGGTGGGACAGTGCATACATATTAAAAAGGGTAAGATTTGTTAAAGAAGAGAATATCATTCAAGTACACTTAGTATATTATTACATATAATGGACCAATTTGTAATTTGCAAGTATACATGTGTATTTATTGATGTGGCTCTTTCTTAGGCTAATTTATTCAGAATAATGTAGACACTTAAACTGCCTCTACACTGACCCAGGGTAATTTAATTGTATGTTGTATCTGCATGTATGTATAATCTTAGCCATATTATGATGATAAATTGCTAAATTTGTCTGAAAGAATTTTATTTCAGTCACCATAAAACGGGTATTTTAGCACATATTTTCCACATAATAGATAGCTCCTTATGTTTTACTGGCATTTTGCTATATATGAAAAATATTATTACGATTTTATATATAAATTGTCGTTCTACAATTTTGCTTACCATTTTTATTCATAAAAACAGTGTTTGGCTGTACTTCGGCTGGACGGAAAGAAGTAGGACAAAGTAGTGCAATCATACCGATGTTTTCTCGTATATATGATATTCTCTTGTTTTTATATCAGTCAGATAACTAACGGTCTTTGCAACTTAACTGGAACATAAACGCTTTCATCCTATTCCGATAATATGCATGGGTATGCAATACTTGTTAAGATTTTATTCAGTTGGAGCCACTTTTTCGATAGTAGCTGTCGAAATCCAATGTGTAGATGGCATAACTCTGAACGTGTCAGTCGCAAAATAGGCAACAATGTATTATATATGATAGGTCACTATTTGTAACATATATTTGCAGCATATAAAAACAACACTAATATTTATATTTCGATTGTATGGCCATATTTTTATTGCACAAAATTATAGGTATTCAGTTTCGAACGTCAAATATGACTGTCTATAGATGATCAATTAACAAAAAAATCAACGGGGTCCGTTTTAACATAAATAACAGGAATAACAATTTTAAGATCTGGCGTCGATCTTGTTCGGCAGTCTGGAGAAACATTTCAGCTTCATAAAGATAATGTAAAATGTCAACGAAAACGACCAATGTTGGTCACCGGGTGATAATGGTGTGCTCAAGCGAGTTACAACAAGTGACGACGCAGCGAGCAAAAAGTACCAAATCAGCAACCCTAGTTTTCCAAAATAACTCTTTATGAACTAATGACCTCCAAGGCGGAACCAGATTTGATCAAACGGACATGACAGGTGATATTTTATGATATATTTCATGCTATAACTTTGCTATTGACATAGTATCAGGGTATGTAGTACCAGAAAAGATTTTTGAGATATAAGTAATATATAAGTATGTGTTATACCCCCAGGGCTGAGTCATTATTTTTAACCCAAGGGGCATAATTTATATGCCCTGTAACCTCGAACTTTGGATTCAAAACACGAAGTGCGGAACATAAGTTCATATGCATTTTTTAACATCAGACAAACTACTGCTCTTTGAATCAATCAATACAAATGAATTTCCATGATGTTTTTAAGTAATAGCTTGTAGTTAAAGCCAAAGGAAAACAAAAATCAAGATATTAAATAGCCGAATTGCACAAAATCTGCAGTACTCAAAAATATCGTAGTTACACATAAAAGCGGATTTTCATAATGTTGTAAAGTTTTCACCTGGGGATTCAGAGCGGATGGTGGTGGTGTGGAATCCCCCGAGATTGTAAAAAATAACGTTTTAAAGACCCATTATGCTTTTATTTGTATTTCTTAAAAAAATTAATTTCGGTGTAATTCTATAGTATCCGAAAAGTTACTCATTGGCCAACTACTTGAACCATCTTTTTCATATGTTGATGTTTGACAATAAGTACAGTGGATGTCAAATACTAATACTCAAATACTACATTGCTTACATTTTGCTACTTTTCTGACAAACTATTTCACATGTATCCCTACTTTTTTAGGTAACAAGCATCTTACATTTCTCTTATACCATCATTTAAACATTATGAAATTCATGTTTGCCCTTTCTAAATAAGTATCTTTATATATATATATATGTGTGTGTGTGTGTGTGTGTGTGTGTGTGTGTGTGTGTGTGTGTGTGTGTGTGTGTGTGTGTGTGTGTGTGTGTGTGTGTGTGTGTGTGTGTGTGTGTGTGTGTGTGTGTGTGTGTGTGTGTGTGCGTGCGTGTGTGTGTGTGTGTTTCAGTGGCATAATGTGCCTTAAACTCAATAAAAAAATGACTCTCCCTGCAAAATCAAGGCGGACACCCTTTAGTTAGTAAATAGATTTCCCTTTAAAAAAGTCTCTGACGAACTGTTGTTACGGAGCTTACAAAAATACTAAAGTTTTTTTGATCAACTTAAAGGAACTCCACTGGGGTCCAAAAACCCAAAACCAAAAATAATTGATTCTTGCATAATTATATTAACTGAGGAACTTTAAACAGAAATAAGTAAAAAAAATAATTATAAAATATACTCAGAGATAAATTGAAAATCGTAATTGTGTGCTATTTTTAGTCTGATTTGAATGAAAAGCGTTGTAACACTTTTCAATTTTGACTCATTTTTTAAATATAAGATATATCGTCCTGAAGAAGGTCTATAGTGAGACCGAAACGGGTTGACCATCATTAAAAGCAGTTAAACCTACCCTGGTGTTGGTCGTTTTGCACCTCCTATATCCCGCTTTTTCTGTGTTTAAATATAAGATTTGTAAAGATCACCCGAAAACTTGATATTTCACCAGAACATTGCAATATAGTATATTTATAGTTCTTTAGAAAGAAATATTAACTGCATTATATTACATCCCCATCATATTTGAAAAAGGGGTAAAATATGACACCAAAAATTATCAAGTAAATGGCTGACAGAACAGGATTGTTTTTCAAGGCATATTCTATTTTTAGGAATACATTTGCAAATTATATACTATAGCACTTTGTTATATGGGCACAATTTTTGGATATTTCAAGTTATAAAATTAAAACAATTGTCACTTATGCATCAAATACTGCTACATCAGAATTTAAATGGCATTAAGTAGAATTGATGTATGTAAGTAGCGACCGTCATCTTGAACTCCACCTCAAATATTTTAATGTCGCAGACAGAAAATAAGTCAGTACTCAGTATTTAAGCAGAAACTTAGTAGACACCTGCAGAACTCTGGAACCCAGAGTGCGTTGATATGTAACATATTAACGCACTTTGGGGTCAATTTCTCCATTCTGATAAGCTTGAAAGTTGCCAAAAACGTTCTGCAAGATTATAGCTTTAAATTACCAGGATTGTTACCAAGTTTAATGACAAAAAAAACTAAGGATTTAAATAAACAACCTCAATGCGAACGCTGAAAATAAAATAGGCTAAAGCTAAACGTTCTATGCAAAGGGCTTAAGTCAAAAAGCAAATCTACGCATGGAACAATTATGTCGACTAAAATATGCACAGGAATCATTGCAACAGAATTCTAACAAGAACACACGCTATGAAATATAGTTTCATTTAGAACAGACTATATGGTTAAAATATAAATCAAACACCAGTGATCCAGTTTCTGCATTGATCACATACAACATGTAGTAAGGGGTGGCAAGAAATTTGAGAAAATAACCTATTGCAACCTGTCACAGGCGTGGTAAATAAATGTTAAAAAATGATTCACCGCAACTAATCAAGATCAAGATCGGTGAATGAGCAGATGTTACCGAATACATGGAAACCCAGCCAAATAAAGATAAATTACGAAAAATTGCGTTTTAACAAAAATAACATTATTTTTAGCAATGGAAAAACACAGACGTTGCTAAAATTAGCAAACACTTTTATATATTTAAGTGAGTTCGTACCCAAGTATTAGACGGAGGAGAGTGTTCACAGTACAGGTTAGTCTGTTTAAAATCTCTCAAAAATTATCATTTTGTTTTTTGTTTAGTATTTTATTTTACTTTACTAGAGGTAGAATATGTGAAAAAATATGTTAATATATTGAAACAAAGCATCTACCCAATGTCTCTAGTACAAAACCACGTCTCAGTGTGTTTCTTTATTTTGTAAAAATATTGTGTTAAAATTTAGATATTACTTCTTATTTCTATTCCCTCTCCCATTTGTTCCATTGTTAAGTTCAGTGTTTTATTCGGACAAAGTCCTTCTGAGATCGGTTTGACTTCCTGTAAAATATACAGGGAAGACCTGATTATTCAATTTTACAAACTGAAATCCGGAAATCTCATTAGACATTCTAAAATTGAAAAAGTAATTTAAAGGATCTTTCTAAAACGTACAAACGTCCAAATTATTGAATAATCTAATGGTTTATGGGAAACATACGGTGTCACAGTTTGTGCATTTTTTATTTATCTCGTGCGCACGAGATACTATTCCGTTGCCACGAGATACTTAAGAAGTGCGCACGTGATACTATGTCGTGGCTACGCGTGACTAAGTCTTGCGCATATGTAATTAAGTGGTACGCACGAGATACTAAGTCGTGGCCACGAGATAATTAAGTCGTGCGCAAGAGATAATTAACCAATCACATTAGATTGCCGTAGAACAATGATGCCTGTATTCACCTGCCTGTCAAAATGCTATATAATTATACAAGTCCTTGATTAGACAGTTATTTCACATTTAGCGTCATTGTGACCCTGTTTTTTTCACCCAATGACCTCAAAATTATATGATCAGTACATGTGCTGGGATTGACAAATATGCATTTTATTTGGTTTTTAAAAGCGTTTTGAGCTCCAAACCCCAAGTGTCTGTGTGATATCTATATAGGTAATATACTGGCCATGGACAATGTCACTACCAACTACAAATAAACCAGGGCTTATTGGCGACGCCGATGAGCGGCGTCGTCTCTTATGGAATGCTTTTTATTTTGGCCTATTGAAGGAGCGCTATTATTAGCAGTTAATGTCATGTTATGTTAATTAGTTTTATCACATAAACCGCGGCGCTGGAGTGTAATAAAGCCATTTAATAAAAACGTTATTACACTACAGTAGTGTTATAACACTTTGACGTGACGTCATTTGCGCTATATATAAACATAGCGTTAAAGCGCGCTAATGTTAGCGTTTCACTATAGGCGCATCATTGAAAAATTACTCAATTGAACAGTTTACTGTTCTTATTTTATATATGTGATAAATAGAATATCATATTCGTGTAGATTCAATGACTAAATTTATTAAACGAAGTGAATAAAATAATATTATGCTCGCCAGATAATAAATTTAGTCATTCGGAACTGCCTCGGCTATTATCTATAATAATCTTTCACATCGGCCCGGGAAATGAATCCCTTGCTCGCAGGCTCAAATCTGGAGTTTCCGGCCTTCTCTTAACTTATAGTATATTTTTAAAGGGGGTCATTATTTACATTTTTTGTTGTTGACACTTTTAAGATGAACACAGGTTTTTTTATCAATCTGGTCATATTTTTTTCTTCCCAGGTCCGATACTCGTGCCTGTGATTTTTGGTTATATAGCCAGTCATATTTTAGTGTGTGACATTAGTTGATCTCTAAACCGTTATTTTTTTTTCTTTTTTTTTTGTTCATTGGTTTGTTATAACCGTCTTACATGCTTTGGTTTATTAAAAACTGAAACTGAGTTTTAACAAACATATTTTTTCCTTATGAAACAATAAATCTTATTAGACGCATTCTATGACAAAGGGGATTTGAATACGACGGAAAAGCAGGACAAAGGTGTATTGTTATATAATGTATCAGGGTATAATGTATTTATTCAAACATTACAACTTGGGAATAAAAGAAAAGAGAAATCAGTCTAAAGAACGTACTGGTATTTATTAACAAAAACGTGTTGGCATGAAAATGGCCATGGCTGGATAAAAGCATTTTAATTATTTAACCTATTGAAATGTCTATGTGTTTCGATTTAAGACTACTAAATGTCTTTACTATAACTGTTTTTGCCCCGGCAACGGTTGCAAAAACGTGGTAGCACATGCTTCAACTCGAGGTACACAGGTACAGATGATGAAATCACTTTACATGTCTGTTTTACAAATTGATCAGCTCCGATAACGGTCGCTGAGAATTATAAGCATTCTCCTTTTTCTATCTTTCTGTTCCAGCCATGACGTGCTAATATAGTGTTATCTGAAAATATAAAGGGAAGAAAGCAAAAACAAAGAAAAACAATGAAATTGAATGGGTGGGTTTGTGGTGGGGTTCAAGATTTGAAATGTAAATTTTAGATTTTTTAAACGAAGATAAACTAGTCTACCTCTTCTATGGTGAGCACGATTGAAAGACCGTTCCCAGAATTTGCTCTGCCTTATATATGACATATTCAAGTGTAAGTTGTCTCCCCTGACAACTCTTTTTGAGGCCCTACTGGGGTGTTATAATAAAAAATGTTAAGTTGTAAGATTTGAATAAAAGATTTAATCCTCTAGCGGATAAAATCGAATATTATTCAAACATTACAACTTGGAATAAAAGAAAAGAGAAATCAGTCTAAAGAACGTACTGGTATTTATTAACAAAAACGTGTTGGCATGAAAATGGCATGGCTGGGATAAAAGCATTTTAATTATTTAACCTATTGAAATGTCTATGTGTTTCGATTTAAAGACTACTAAATGTCTTTACTATAACTGTTTTTGCCCCGGCAACGGTTGCAAAAAACGTGGTAGCACATGCCAAAAAGCCCACAGCAAAGTGAAACATTTGCCTGTGGCTTCCGCCAAAGCGGGCTACCACAGCTACAATTTTGCCCTACCAGCCATGGACGTGAATTGTTGAGAGCGCCCGATATTGTATTCAATAAAAACGTGGTTACCACAAAGTCCGACAGATGTGTGCCATCCGGCCTATACAACCTAGGGTTTTCCTTAATATAAGAATTCGAAAACCCAGCCAAACGCCGCCCCCGGCACTTCTCCGCACACAGCCCGGGGAATTCACCTAATGAAGTGTAATAGCGAACTCAATGTTTTCGGCCTTTGCAATAGATATTAAACGAAATATTGATAATTTTTAAAAACATTTCAATTTTTTTTTTCACCTTAAACGGTTTAAATAATGATAGAAAAATAAAATATCTCGTAACTGTGTTATGTACTTCATTTGGTGTAATTCCCCGAGAGCTAAAACGGCAACGTACGGAAAACGGCGCCCAGCTAGGTCCTCGAAAAGGTCAATCAGGGTAACGAATATAATAACCCCGAGTTTAATAACAAATGTACTGATACAACTATTTATACGCATGCGGGTTTTATTTGCAGTTTTGTTACATTGGACATATCTCCATGACCTTCTTGGTAATATCTATATAGTAACAGGCATTTTTTCCAGTAAAATCCTTGTTATAAAGTTTTTGATGTCCCATATGATTTCAACTGAAGGTCGATTTCCTAAATCGTTCCCGCCACAGTGTAATATCAAACATTTTGTGCATTTTTAAACTCAAGCAAGTATTCTATCGAAGGTTTTAAATCAGAAACTTCCATGTCCCCCTGATATTCCCATATAACATTATAACCTAGAAATTTAAGTCCTCACTTCTGCGGCATGCTGTTTGAAAGGCATCCCTAATAAATGAAGAGCCTATAATCCAAACATCCGACATTTTACAGGCTGAAATAAGTTTAAATATATATTACCTATCCATTTAATATTTATAATTATCAAGTAATGTTATCAAAAAACATGTCAGGCACATAATGCCAACTAGGTGTTATAAATTATTAAAGACACATAATATCAGGCACATAATGCCAACTGGGTGTTATAATTATAAAAGACACATAATGTCAGGCACATAATGCCAACTGGGTGTTATAAATTATAAAAGACACATGTCAGGCACATAATGCCAACTGCTTGTTATACATTAACACATTCAAAAAACAATATCAGGCACATAATGCCAGGCACATAATGCCAATATATATAACATCTTTTTTATTACAACAGCATAAATTGCTCTTCTTAATACATTAATGTGTGTATTAAGACCCGGTAACGGTTTCTTAATACAAGTACGTACTTTATTTTAAATAGCCAAATTTCGGATCGCCGGCATTCACATTACAGCCATTTTGGCAGATCCTAAAAAATTAAGTTTTTTCCACGAAATACTATAAAATTATCGGATGTAGGATTTATAAGCGTAAGATCGCCAACGGACTCTGTATTTTATATCATTGATAGCACAAACCTCACGGAACATATTAGAAGCCCCGCCGATTCGAAAAGAGTGTGCTTTTTATTATTTTTTTTTTTTTTTTTTTTTTTGACCTATCAAGTTCAAAGTTCTTTTTAATACTGAATTGAATTGAAAGGATGTTAAGGGACTTCCATCGAAATGGCAGAATAACGGCCCTTGCACGTTACTTCTAAAATGTAAGAACTCTTTCAGTTTTTCATAACAGAGTTTGGTCAGTTATCGGAATATCAATAGAACATCCGACATATCTCTGGTCGTTTTTGGACATCTAAAATACAGTCTAATGAGATTTTGATCGATCGTTACATCATCTACATTTAAAACTACCTTTTTTGATTTCTTTGAAGGCAATGCAAATTCGCTTATTCTTAACAGACCTATGTAGGCAAGACAGAAAGCATCAGAAAACATTAAACACTCATATTGTGATCTGCATGCGTTAGGTAGGGCTGATAAAAGCTGTATCAGTACACTGTGTTATCGGGTGTCTTGTGTCATGCCTTTTCGATAATCTAGGGAACCCTTCTAGCATACTATTGACTATGAATTGTTTTGTATTGTCAACCAAATTGTTTATTTTATTAAAATAACTTATTGTTGAAACGTGAACACCTACTGTTGAAAATGAGTATTGACGTAAAGACATGTATGCAATATATTCCGTTATATATAGTTCTAAATGGCAGTTATCTTACTTATCTACCCAATTTTTTCTGTAAACATAACATAACCATTGAATTTTTCAAAAAAATGTTAGCCAAATATGTGCATCTTCTTTCATGCATTGGTTGACTAATAAAATGGAACGGTTTCTTTACATACATGGCGCCATAAAAAACGTCTTTTAAAGGCACGGCCACTGGGAATAGCTTTCGATATAAAATTAAATAGACCAACGACTGATTACAAGTAAGTGTTTGAGTCTAATCTTATTAAGTTTTCTCACCCAAACGAGACTGTTTTCGCTTTCCTTATTTTTTCTAAAGGCACTTTAACCATTTGGTTGATTGAATCAATTTCAAGACCCAGGTATGTTATAGTTATAACAAGTCCCATCCATTTTTCGAAACTTAGGGGGACACCAAGTTCATTGTAAATTTTATCAAATGTTTGCATTAAATTCAAGCATTTATGATTTTTCAAAAGATTTTTCTGCCATAAAAATCATCTAGTACTGTAGGTGGTCAATGTAGTATGATTTTGATTCTTTAGACACAAGTCATTGTAAAAAACTTTGAAAAATTTTCAAAAATAAATCATGAACATGATGCACCTTGTGGCAGCATTTTTTGAATTCAATATCCCTCCTCGGTTTTTATACCTAATAAATCAAAATCACCTGGCCATATAGGGCATAAATTAAATGCAGAAGAAATGTCAGCTTTTGCCATAAAAGCAGAACCCCCTATTTCTTGAACTATTCTTACTGCATTTTCGCATTGTGAATATTGAACATGGCAAAATTCAGGATCGATAAATTCATTTATACTTTGCCTGGTGAGTATGAAAGCTGAAAGCACCGTTTTGTTTTGGTACGAGACCTACGGGATTTTATTCTCAGATTAGTAATTGGCCTTTTTTTTGAACGGTCCTAGGATTCACCCAAGTATAAATTCGTCGTGAAGCTTTTTACTTAATAAGCATTTTTGATCAATTGCCGATTTGAGATTTTTGGGGAAAAAAATAGGGATTCTTGGTCCCGTATATTCGAGTTTAAAACCAGTGCTGAATCCTTGTAAAATGTAATTGGCATCATCCTTATTTGGGCATTGAAAGAGTTTATCAGCGAGAAACTAGATATTAATTGGTGAAAACGCCAGGTCCCATAGGCACTCTTTGAGCTGGCAATATAAATACATAACGCGGTGTGAATTGCGCTGTTTGTTTATTTGCATAACAGTGTATTGAAGGGTGGTTAGTACTGGTTACCAAAGCATTTGATGCAAACGTGTTTGTAAGTACATGATCTATTTGTACAAAAGCCTTTGTAATTAAAGTCGTAACATTTTTTTGAATATTCAGAAGTGCCGGCTAGTTCAAGGACTGTATTAGTCTGCATATATCATCCACAATTCTGAGTCAATATTTTGCCACTTTATACCCAAATCGATTAATTTTTTAAGCCTAAATTACCTATCATACTCGAACCATCCGACATTTCTTGATCAAGTTGATGCCGCTAAACGAATGTTTGCAAAATATTGTAATAGGTTATTGACTTATTCTGGATGTTTCATAATGAAAATACGCATGTATACCACGAATGCATCTGACCAAATTTCTATATTTTTTTTTTTTTTTTTTTTATTTGTTTCGGAATTTGCTCTTGGGTACTCATTATAAGTTCCCCGTCAACAAGTTGAATCTTTTGTTTATTTTATATTTTCTAACATATTTTTCTTTGGCAACAAAGTGTGTAACTAAACTCTACAAATTGATTGCTCCATATTTTATCTCTAGTACTGACAAATACATGTGCGCCTAGCATTGTACCGGAACAAGTATTTATCATGATATTTTTTAACTTCACCTTTATTTGTCTCTTGGTGATGAAGATCAACATCTACCGGAGGTCCGGATTGGTCATCCATTTCGTTTTCTTCATAGGGCTCCCTTACAGGTCTGTCAGCTGGAGGCATGGCTGTAGAAACAGACGTCCGAATGTTCCTCCTCTTATTTGACTTGCTGTTGGAGCGAGTCTCGTGTATGGCCACGTTGTTGTCGATGTTTTAACATTGTCGAAAAATAAAATAATATACATAAATAAATAAAATAAAATTATTATTATTATTATCAAATTTTTTTTTTATTTCCTACTTTATATATTTAGATTCTAATTACTCTTATTTTATTTTTCTTAGCCTCGATGAAATGACGTCATAGGTATGAATGATGTCACATGCGTGGATTTCAATGAGACTGATCATTTTCCCGTTGGAAAAACATGACCTGTCATAATCGAGCCATATAATCAATATTGTATTTTTAACCGTTTTATATCTATGCTCATTTATTCATTCATAAGATAATGCTCTAGATTTTAAGTATAGACCACGTGCTGAAACATCATATAAATATAGAATCTATAGGTTTTAAACTCAAGATCTAGATTTAAATCCAATTTTTTATTTATTTACTAATTATTTCAAAGAAACCGATAGACTTTGACATATATTTAGTGTAATCAAGGCATCCAAAATTGATTTTTTTTTAGACAACTGTCCTTGAAGAGAACAACAGCTGGTCATCACCACGTGGTTATTAGATCTGGTCAAAGTTCTTATCTAATAAACCCCAAATATTAAAACAAATAATAATGAGCAGAAATATAAAATGTATTATAATCTCCTGTGCGATTCTAAATAATATTCGTTGATATTCAAGATTTGAAATGTAAATTTTAGATTTTTTAAACGAAGATAAACTAGTCTACCTCTTCTATGGTGAGCCACGATTGAAAGACCGTTCCCAGAATTTGCTCTGCCTTATATATGACATATTCAAGTGTAAGTTGTCTCCCCTGACAACTCTTTTTGAGGCCCTACTGGGGTGTTATAATAAAAAATGTTAAGTTGTAAGATTTGAATAAAAGATTTAATCCTCTAGCGGATAAATCGAATATTATATTAACAATGACAAAGGGAAGATATTATTTACAATGATTTAAGAAAGTTGCATTGTTGATTCGTGATGATTCAAATTATAGATAATGATTGCGTTTGGAGAGAAAAATAGAATTTTAGTACAAAAGTAGTTATTATGTCGAATTTGAATAAAATATAAGCGTTATAATGAGGTGTAATTTGAAGAATCAATATAGATGAAAATGTGATTTTGGACAAATTTGAATATATAATAAATGTTGTTTGTTATACAGAATAAAGATATCCATTTTGAACAGATTCTAATTGTTTAAGATGATAAAACTGAACTATACTTATGGTTTATAACATTTTAATCAACCAATATCATGAAAATATTGAACAATAAACCGAATAATATACCTTAACACGTTTGCCATTTCTTACAACCACATCGTGGAAGCTAAATACCAGTTATTAAAATGCCAGGTATATTTATTAAGTTTTTGTTATACAAGCAACTTTAATTGAATATAAGCTATCAATACTAAAAAAAAACATGTAACGGTAAATATCAAGTGTAAAAGCCTTAATGTACCAAGTATATCTAAAAACTGCTAGATAGCCTCATGTTTGTTCAGCCTTAAAAAATCATTTACATATTCATTACATAATCTGCTGCAAAAGTGTTGTTTGAATGTTAAAAATATGGTAATAAATTGCATTAAAAGTGAATGGTGCATGCTCAAAATCATCCTAAACGGGTTAAAACCTGCTTTAAATATCAGAATAACATTTTGTTTCGGTGTACCAATTTTGCCCCCGTTGAAAAATAACCCCGAGTGCCATTGTTCAACATTGAGAATTGACATTGCCAACATTTCATTTTAATCAAATAGTCGTTGACGTCTGTTAAGTCGTTAAGTCTTTATCAAAATTGTGTCATTTTTAACGGTTGAATAAATTATAGTTAAACGTTGAAAATCGTTAATAGCGAACACTTAGACTTGCCTAAAACTGAAGCCTATTAGAAATATTATGTATACATGATGAGTCCATCTTAAGCTGATGCAATTGGACATGAATGGTAATTTACACTGTTTAGTACCGTCCATGAATAGGCAGAATCAAACCAATCCAGCAATTTTTTATTTTTTTTACATTTTTTTTTAATTTTCTCCCAACATATGACGAGTCGTTTTGACAAGATTGAAAGATGCGCGATTCCATTTAAGACAGTTGGCATGGAGAGGGGTAGTAAAAATTATCACAAATCATTGAATCACAATTATAAACATTCTTCTCCTGTAGCTACTAGGCTTGTTGATACATTCAAATTATCACACGGTTATTACAAACTCATTTCTTTTAACTAAGATATAAATAATTTAATATTGATAATTGTACTTTTTAGCTTACCTTGTAGAGCTTTTGTGATCGCTTTTCGTCCGACATCCGTCCACCCGTCTGACCGTAAACTTTTACTTTAAACGATATCTCCTCATTAACCGCTGAACAAATCCAGGAATGGTCACCATTAACAATTGCTCAAAGAATTTGATTTCATGTAGAACTCTGGTTGCCATGGTAACCAAAAGAAAATATCTTCTTCTAAAAAACCGAAAAAAGCTAGAGCTTATTATTATATGTATATAGTAAAAACTAAAAATATTCTTAAAAGAAACAAACAAAGACCTAGAACTAAGATATTAAGCATGAAACATCTTCTACTGGGTGTCTACCAAAATTGTTCAAGTAAAAGCCCTGGGGTCAAAAGTGGCTCCGCCCCAGGGGTTCATTGATTTTCCTTATATCTATATAGTAAAATTTAAGAAATCTTAAAAAAATCACAAGAGCTAGAGCTTAGATATTTAGCATAAAACATCTTCTGGTGATCAAGTTTGATCAAATAAAAGCCTTGTGGTTAAAATTAGCCCCTCCCTAGGGGATCATTGATTTTCCTTATATGTATAGAGTGAAAGCGTAAAAACGCTTCTTTAGAAAAAAGTTAAACCTAAATAGCTAGATGTTAGATATTTAGCTTGAAACATATTCAGAAGGTTCTGCCAAAATAGAAGCCAAAATTGGTCAAAATTAGCTCCGCCACTGGTAGTCATCGGCTTTCGTTATATGTATAAAGAAAAAACATTCTTTTGAAAAACCAAAAGATTTAAAGGATAGATATTAAGCATGAAAAATCTTCTTATCTGTGCCTAGCAAGTTTGTTTAAATAAAACACCTGGGGTCAAACTTAGCCCCGCCCAAAAGCCTTTGGGTCAAAATTGTTCAGGCCCCAGAATGTCATTGATTTTCCCTATATGCACACATCTTTTGGAACTGTTGTTTTCACTTAGTAATTGCAAAAAAAATGTTTTTACACATGCACTATTTCAGACAAAATATGAACTTTGTGATATCAGTTTTGGATTTAGATTTTCTATCTACCTTTTTTATAGTTTACAATATTACTTCTTCCTTGTCATGGAGAGTTTTTATATTCAGGTGAGCGATTTAAGGGCCATCGTGGCCGTGTTGTTTCATTATATTACTACTATATATTTTGTCTTAGTGTAGAAGAAATCAAGTTGACAACCATGCAATCTGTTATGTCAAGAGAAAACTGGCTCAAAGGTGTAAGAGGTTTAACAACAGTTAAGGACGCAGCCATTCCTTCACTCAAAAGAGATTTTTCACAAAGGGCTAGAGACTGGAATACTGCTAACGATGACCTCAAAACTTTGCTTGATCTAGGAGCGAACAAAGAAGTTAAGGCAGTAAAGAATGGGGAATGTAAGTGGTTTGTAAATGTCTCCGGATGTCAACCCATCTTGAAAAAGATTGAGATGTCACATCTCCGACCAGCACGTTTGGAGTGGAAAAATAATAAAAAGGATGACTCTTGTCCAATTGAGTACAGATTGGCAAAGATCTTTATGCCTGGCGGGAATGAAAACACCGATATTACAGCGATCTCGACGCGTTGGCAGTTTTAGAGATTCTTAAGAACGACAAACGTTTAAAAGACAGATTGGATAAAATTATATTTGTAAATATCTCTGTTACAAACTATCTATTTACAAATTATGTTTCATTTAACACACTGACATTAAAAAATTACATACGTGTTACCTTTTTATCGATAAACATTCCACATGCCAAAATGTATTTAAACATATAGAACAGATTATTTTAATGTTATCTTTAAAGTGGCATTATGACCGTCCAAGGGTATAATTTACAATGAGCGAGCAGATGAAAGTCAAAATTAGTTTGCATTTTTTTTTCAATTTTATAGTTTACGTCGCATAAATGTTAAATCAATCACGTAGCCCAATGAATTTTCTATATCAATCATTTGAAAAAACTTTACAATGAAAATATTGCCATAATGTCAATGTAATATATTTTCATTTTGACTTAATAAAATGTTTCAGATATATGTTAATATATATATAAATATATACTATACACAGCAATATCGCCTGAAATTACTTATCTTTTATAATCCTGTTATAAAGATATTCGAGAATGTTACATTTTATTTAAATCTATTTTTTTGGGCTTATCGTGTTCAGAAACAGACTGATGCATTCAAACAATAATAGTATAAGCGAAGATGAATTGGAAGATGCTTTTTTAATAATGAAGGAGCTTCTACAAGACGCCATGTTCAAAAACTTGCAGGAATGTAAAGATGCAGTTGAGGAACTTGATAAGGTATAATCAATTACTTTATGCTAAAATAAAGCAATAGCCGATAATTACATTGAAATTATCCAATTTTAAGTTCACACGTTCCTCTGAAGTATTTTTTTTTACATTATCCTTAAGTGGTGCCGTAAGTTTAACAAGAGCCACCGCCGGGCAGGGACAGCACTTGACCTTTTTTACTTTTTAACAAATCTTAAAAAAAAAAGTACAGACAGATAGGTTTTCCTTTCTTAATTTTGATAGGTCTGTATAGTCAAACTTGTTGTTTTGTCCAAGTATGAAACCTTTCCATATATAATGACAAAATTAGAAAATATAATCAAACTTTGATCATTTGACAGTCAATGTCATTTAAAGGTCAAGGTGATATGTAAATTATTTCTCATGTTTGTTTGGTCACCAGTGCTGTATTGCTTACATATGAATCACATCCTTTCATTACAACTTAACCACAATTCAATATTAATGTCATGTCAAACAGTTTGTTTTGAAAATAATTCATTGATTTATTACAAAGTTACGGCAAATTTGAGCAATGATCAGTGATAATAAAATAATTTGATTTTCAAGGTTAAGGTCAAACATGAGTCAAGATTTATTTGAGTTTGATATACATAAATATCCTGGCTTAAAATATGTTGTATGTTAATATGAATTTAATTCATTTATAAATAACAAAGTTAAAATCATTTCCAAAAAAAACAACAACAGGAGAGTTTCATTAATTTGACATTGTCAAAGTCAACATATCTATTTTTGATTTGTAGTATGTATTATTATATCCAAGTTTAAATCAAATCCCTACAAAAATAACAAAGTTATGACAATTTAACCAAAATTCAATAATTTGGCCTTGACGGTAAATGTCATTTGAAGCTCAAGGTCAAGATCAATTCAACATTTTTAATAATTAAAATCAAGTTTATAAGAGAGCCAAGGTCGATTTAACATTAATGTACATGAAGGCTTTACCCTTAAGAATATTCTGTTATAAAATGAAGTCAATAGATTCAATGATATCAGTTACAGCAAAAGAATCAATAACTTTAAGGTCCGCACACGAGGTCATAAGTTTTACTAGCATATATATATTTAAAACCTCTGAATCAACAAAGTTTAATAAATGTCTACCAAACTTGTTCAGGTTATAGACATGGGGATAAGTGACCAAGCCCATGGGTTCATGTTTTCACGTATATATATCTGTTAAAACTCAAAAACTTAAAATGGCATTTCCCCTGAACAGTCAAATTTTAGCACAAAACAGCATTAGCTAGAAAACCTGTAGAAACGTTTGTTCCAATTATAGCCCGGAAATCAAAGTTGAACCTGCCCCGAGGGATAAAAGGTCTCTTTATTCCTTATATGTATATAGTTAACACAATGAATTTAATTATTTTAACCTCTGACCCAAAACGCAAAATTTAAAATCATTTTGCACAAAACGATAGCTATTGATATCATCCCTGCAAACTTTGTTGATTCTAACTCAAGGACCTTTAGAGGTACACATAACACAATAATTTGAAGTTTTTTGAACGGTTTTAAGTCAATGGCAGTTCCCTCTACAAATTTTCAGAGCAGATATACAAGTAAACACACAAGTGTACAACTACATATGCTGAAAAACATTTCTGTAAAGTTTCATGAATCTAACACAAATGTTTTTGGTATCATTATGCGCAACCCAATTTGAAAATTGCAAATTTTTATAAAGTCAAGAGCAATAAATATACAATAACTGAATAAAACCACAAGTTAACCCCAAGGTGCAAATTCTTTTTAAGCTACATGCTACACAAGTTGGAAATTGCAAATTTTTACATTGTGCAGGGAAATAACTCTAAAAATACTAAGTAAATTAATAAGCGAACGACCAAGTGCACAACATCACATGCTAATCAACATTTTCAAGTTTCATGACTCCAGGTCAAATACGTTTTGATCCACATGCTACACAAGTTAAAAACTGCACATTTTACTAAGTCAAGGGCAATAACTCTACAAATACAGAAACAGTTTACAAGCAAAACCGCAGATGCACAACAACGCATGCAGAAGTATTATTATTGAACCTAAAACACAATACGTGTCATTGTGAAAAACAAAATAAAGTAAAATAGCAAACTAAAGCAAACGTGATTAAATAAGTCATTTTGGAATGAAGTGATACGGTGCCTTTGCAATCCACTTCAAATCGATAAACTTTTAATCTAAAACAGTTTAAGGTTAATAGATATTATGCCGCGTTTTTAAAATCGCAGAAATTTTCCTGCTTCCGTAATTCAAAAAAAATAAAAAACGATGATAAACACAAAAATTGAAAAACAAATTCTTTTTATCCCCTGAGCTAGCTCAGATCGCTTTTGGGTCTTTTGAAGCGTCTGCCACTTTTTGTTTTTTAACCTTAATTTTCATTTTTGCTTTATCATCTCCAATTTTGTCAGGATGCTTTTTTAGGAAATTTGCTAAATAAGATTAACGGGGTTTTTTCCCCGTGAAAAACTAGGTACGGGAACTAAAAATAGAAAAAAGGGGGTTTTTGGGCAAGTTCAAATATGGTCATTTGGGGTCAAAACTGGGCCAAACAACCCCAAAAATGGAAAACCCCTTTTAGACATTCTAAGGCCCACTTTTGATCAAAATTCCGAAAATTGGCAAAAAGGGTTTTTTTGAATTTTTTAGGGCAATTTTAAATATGAGTCACCACATGGGGTCAAAAACTAGTTCACACAGCCCACTAGGGGGAAAATTTTGATAAAATCTGGAGGCTATGTTTTGTTTCAAAATCCCGAAATTGGGTTGAAAACTTTTTAATATTTGTAGGTCAATTTGAATTGATCTGGAGTAAAAAAATATCACACAGGGAAGTACGGAAAAAAACCCAACACACTAAGCCTAAGTTTTGACCAAATTTCCAGAAATGGGGGGAAAAAATTGTTTTGGTTATTTTTTTGGTCAATTTTTAAAATAGGGCATCTTTTGGATAAAATTAAACTCGCACCCAAATAAAATTTAAATTTAAACAGTCAACAGGTAGAGATATAAGGCCCAATCATTCCATCTTGTTTTAACTTCTAGCTGAAAAAGAAAAATATAATCTGTGACATTGATGAATCAAGCGAAATTTGGAAACTCGCCAAAGATATGAAAGAAGCAGTTGAGGAAGCAGATGACATAGAAGAACCAGAACCGAGTTCTGAAGCCATAACAATATTGCTGAGAGAAACTCTACATGAAGTAGAAAGCGAATTGAAGAAAACTAAAAATGATTTGGAGGATACTAAAACTGAATTGAAGGCTACTCAAACTGAATTGAAGGATACTAAAAACAAATATGAAACTGTTGTGAAAGATTTAAAGGTAGAAAATGAAAAACTACAAAAAGAGATAAACGCAGTGGCAGAATATACTCCATCATTTGCTGGAAGAGTCGCAAAAGGAACAGCAGCTGGAACAGGTGTCGGTATTTTTGGTGGACCAGTCGGAGCTCTTGTAGGGGCCACTGCCGGAGGTGCGGTGGGAGGTATTTCATACTACTGGGACAAAATCACTAAATAGTAACTTTGTGAAATTAATACGGCATAGTTTTTATTTTGGTATATGTTATGCCTTTGTATTTTTTTTTTTTTTTTTTTTTTTTCTAATAAATCAATTTTGCTTCACGCCTACACAATCTTTTTTGATATGAATACCCATAACAGTTTTAATGGGGGGGGGGTTTTTTGAATGATCTTCATTTTTCATCCCCGGGAATAACATGGCTGCCGAAAAACAAACAAATCATTTTTCAGTAATAATGATAAAACATGTGATTATTGTATTTGTTATGTAAATTTCAATATTTCGAAAATTTTGCGTTATTTTAATTTTTATAAATATATATTTGTATGAAAAAAAGTGAGTTAGATAACTTTTGGGGAACACACATTCCATTTAGAAACACATCTTGCAGTATCTTCGAGATCTAAAAAGTAAATGCTATTTCAAAACTCCGAAATAATCTTTGCAAGAAAAAAGCAGTTTTACCTCTTAAAAATACTTCTTGTTAAGACTGACAAGTTTCCGAATCATAATGCGAGGATGAATTGTTAATGTTTTGCAAGAATGAAACTGCATTCGTTGTCTTAATATGCTTTATCGTAGGTTGTGCAAGCTTCTTTAAACATCAGTGTCTTTCAATCTCTCACAGTCTGTGTGTGTGTGTGTGTGTGTGTGCGTGCGTGCGTGCGTGCGTGCGTGTGTGTGTGTGTGTGTGTGTGTGTGTGTGCGTTTGTTGTGCTTTTTGCTTTTTTTACATACTTTAATAAGACTTGAGTATTGTCTAATACTTATTTTTTATAACATCTTTGTGTATGTATCTTAGTTATTAAACCTGTATCGTAATGAATAAAAACGTATAAGCAATGTTGTGTAGGCTTTGACTTGTGTTCAAGAAAATGCATAAATACCTAGCATGTTACTATACATTATGTATAGTAACAAAATTATATATAGGGTAGTTCTATGGAGGCGTTCATTATCAAATTACAGGTGTGTAAAGAGTTAGTTTTGAAAATGCGAACGTGTATGCCTATTTTTTGACAATATCCGTTTGGTTTAGATCTATATGTAAACTTGTTATTTAAAAGAGGGGATCTTCATTTAAGAGATAGGGGTAAGAGGCATATTATTTGAAGTACACAAATACAGTCAAAATTGCTTGACATAAATGTTCGCATATTCAAAGGTAGTTTTCAAAAGGAGGTTGGCAAAAAACGCCCTCCATATATTTCAATGGCCTTGTTGTAGGTCATTTGATGTACGCTAATTAAGTAGCTTATTGAATACACTATTATTACTTCAACGGTTGTGGAACATTCGACGTTGCACAGGAGAGTAATCATGACTGGTTAAGTCAACACATTTATTCATAGTACGAGTAATTTTTAAATCCATCCAGGAATGACAGAATTGTTGACATGAAGATCAGTGTATTTTTATGATCAAGACAAAGCGTTACCTTGACCGTTGAACTACAGTCGTAAATCTCTTAAATCGGAAAAAGAACAGGTTCATTAATTAACATAAATTATGCACATGTTGAGATTTTGTTTTTTGTTTTATTATCTTGTTTCTTTTTATTGGGTTTTACGTCATACCAGCACAGTTTAGGTAATATGGCGACTTTCCAACTTTACTGGTAGAGGAAGACCTCCATTCGGAACTGCCCCGGCTATTATCTATAATAACCTCGGAAACAATACGGATTGAAAGTAGTTCTACCACGTGGTTTACAGACGTAAACAGAAACAGAGATAATGTAAAACAAATGTATATATTTGACATCTTATGTCTGTTCCGGTACTCTTATGCTTGAAAATATGTCTGACAACCATTTGTAATTTAAATATGCCCACTGATGTTCAATTTTAAACAAATCCGACCAAATGTCAACAGGTTGGTTTCTTGTACTTTCGGTTTCTACAGCCATATTAGTAAATATATAAATAATGTATTGTTTGCTTTTGTACCTATGAATTCACTTATTTAAGGTGGACTTTTACTACATATATTGGAAATAAACGTGTCAACAACTCCCAGCATTAAATTACTATTTGTTTCCATGTTTAGTTTCTTAGCGTAGGTTAGACCGGAATACCGCATCCGTTCTGTGTATTCATACCATTGTGTTAGAGGTCCTTATCCGAAGACTGACGGAAAGGGCCGAGTAGTTGCGATTGGAAGACCTAGTATCCTTCCGTACATTCAAGGCACCAGAGTAGAACTACATAACCATTCAGCCACTGTCGTCCCGCAAATGTCGAGTTCTATTATGAAGGGTGAGTTCTATTACGATGGGCGGGTCAACTTTATTTCTAGAAAAGGAATTTTTTTTTTTTGGTGGGGGGGGGGTTACATCACATCGAAACAGTATCGGTCATATCGCGACGTTCCAGCTTTACTGGTGGAGGAAGACCTCAGGTGCCCTTCCGTGCATTATTTCAGGCACGAACGGGCACCTGAGTAGAACCACCGACGTTCCGTAAGCTAGCTGGATAGCTTCCTCACATGAAAGAATCCAAAGTCCCTGTCGGGATTCGAACCCACAGCGGTGAGGGGCAAGTGGTTTGAAGTCAACGACCTTAAGGCTTAACTAACAATTAAGGTGTTATACAATTATACAATTCTTCAATATGCAATAAAATGCAAAGGTGTAATAACTGAATAACTTGCACAACCAATTATATCATAATGGTCTGACCGAATAATGGCTACATTATCGTGTTCGTCCTAGTCAATCCAAGTCTGCAATAAAAAACTTCATGTAATTTTGTTGAGATTAATGCTTCAGACCTTTAAGCGTTTATATTTTGAGGGGTTTCCGGTATTTTCCGGTGTTTCCTGTAGTTTCCGGTATTTTCGGTGGTTTCCGGTATTTCGTGTAACCGTAGCATATTCCATAACATCAGTTTCTAGATGTATAGCCTTTTTTTGGGTCTCATTTAGAAATTTCATCAATTGTTACTTAACTGTTCACTTATCTTCAGTTAAGTCAGGAAGTTCTGACAGCTTGTTTGTGGACAGAAAGAAAAACAGCAATTACTGATAAATGAAACTTTTTTGGTCAGGATCAAAGAATACTAGTAACTTTTAAGAATTTATAATAAGTTTCCAAGAACAACAATCGTAATTTGATTTTGAAACTACTTTGAAGACAAGTTAACAGGTACTGTATTTAATGTTGTATATGCTAGACTTAAGTCTGTAGATTCAACATCAGAGGTGAAAGGTCACAAAAGGAATTTGCCTGTTCAGTGTGTCATTCCTTTAACCCCAAAAGAATGTTTGATATCCGGAAGACTGAAGTCATACACAAGACCCGAGTAAGTAGCATCAATAGCAAGGGCACACTTAAAAGTCTAAAGGCAAAATGTGGTGTTTGTCAACATGCACATTGCATGTTGTTTTCACTTTAAATGTCCCTGAAGTTTCAATTTTGAAACAACTGTGACAAAACTGGACACTCATGTCATGCGGACGAGTAGCTCCTATGGAAAAATACACAAGAAAACCCATGTCCAGTTGAAAAACAATTGGGAATCCACGTCCAGTTGAAAAACAATTGGGAACCCATGTCCAGTTGAAAAACAATTTGGAACCCGTGTCAAGTTAAAAAACAATTGGGAACTCATGTCCAGTTGAAAAACAATTGGGAACCCATGTCCAGTTGAAAAACAATTGGGAACCCATGCCAAGTTGAAAAACAATTTGGAACCCGTGTCCAGTTGAAAAATAATTGGGAACCCATGTCAAGTTGAAAAACCATTGGGAACCCATGTCAAGTTGAAAAATAACTGAGAGCCCATGTACAGTGGTAAAAATTAGCTGAGCATTCATGCCATGTGGACAAATAGCTATCTATGTCTTATCAACAAATGGCTAAGCATCCATGTTCAATTGACGAATAGCTGAACAATCATGACCTATGACCTAAGCTTAGTAACCACCAGTGGACAAATAACCGAGAACAGTTATGCTATGTGGACAAAACTATATACAGTCTCCAGCTCTTTATCATGAAGTACAACAAATCGTTTATTTATATTAGAAGAACAAAGATAGTAATAAGTACTTAATATACATTATTTTATTGAATGCTTTCATAAACTGCATGTTTCAATCACATCTATTCTGAATTATTAAGCTGTACAATAAGTCTTTTAGCTGTTGTTTTCTTCTGTTGCATTTAAGCTATTCTATTTGCCTCCCTGATCACTTTTTAGCTTTCGCTGCTTCTTGGGCTGCTTTCTTTGCTCGTATTAGTTCCACCAGTTCCTGAATATAAAAACAAATATATTACAGTATTTTCTTCACTATACATTCATCCATTTTATTGGGAACCACCGTTGTCTTGTTTATAAAATACATAATATTCAATAGAGCAATACTTGGTCAATTTTCTCCTCATTTGGACTTAAGATATACTAGGCTCAATAGTACCAACTTTACTTGATCTGTAATAGGGAACACATATACATACTGGTTCATAGGATATAGTTTATAAATTCACTCTTATTCATATTAGACGTATTCAGTTAGAATTTCGTAGATTTCAATAAATTTCTGATATCAAAAATATTTTACTCATGGATAAACATAGTAAACCCTTGTTATAATCAAGGTCATATGGATCTCTGACACTCGTTAGCAGAGGAATACCTTGCATGCTAGACAATGCAAGTCATTAAAACATTTTTTTCCATGATGCATATAATATTTCATTAGATTTCTGTGTCAAAATAGTGAATATCATAAAATCAACTTAAGAACATATAAAATATCATTCAGTGAACTACTGAATTCAAAACTTATAGGTCACCATTTGGCAAAATTTAACCTTTAAGGACATAAATGATGACATGTCCCAGAGTTCGCTGTCTCAGTGTTTAAAAGGACAAATGGAGTCTCAAAAACAAGTAAGGGACTAAAAAAACACCGGCCATACCTTATATCTCTTCATGCAATCCTTTTTACTCCTTGTTGGAACAGCCTCAGCTATTCTCTCCCATCGGGGTTACTGGCAGGGTAAGTTTTCAGCGCTTGTTCTAACAATTTCTGCTCATCTGTAGT